ATCGCATTTATCTTTCTACTTCAATCTCTATCTCTAGATTTTATATTTTTATAATTCTACCATTTCTATCTACCTCTCCATTCCACCTCAGAATCTCCGCTGAACCCCTCGATGGGCCCAACATGGACCCCTCCAAGCGCCATGAGCCCACTTCATTCACTGCGGCTTCATCCACCCCAGCAACCGGCCCCCCGCTGTCTACAGACGACGCGACTTCGTCGACTCACAGACTGAGCCATCCCTCTCTCCACGCGATGTCTCTACCTCCTTCTTCCCCAGGACTCTCGTCGGCCGCCCTGTTATCGCCCTCCGATCCCCCCGCGCGTGCTGTCGCGACCCAGGCGCATCCCACCCCACGTCGCATCCCCAGCTCCAGCTCCCTGGCCGAGGAGCGTCGCAAGTCCTCTCCCAGCTTGAAGAAACGCTCATCCACCGCGTCGCTACGTTCCAATCGTGGAGCCTCCACCTCTCCCCGCCCCAGCTTATCGCGACACTCCTCGTCCTCGTTTGGCACCTCTCCGACGAGCGCGTCCGCCACTCACCCAAACATGGCCAAGAAGGCTCACCGAACAGTCTCAGCAGAGCACCCTGTCACTACAGCAGCATCTATCGCAGCAGAGTCCTTTCGCAAAGAAGTAGATTGGCATCAGTCCGCAAAGCTACAGTCGCAGACACTGGTGCTCGTCCATGATGCGTGCTATGGCCATCGCTTCTCGCGCCCGCGAACCTCCCGCGCGGCGCTTAACTCTATCGTCGAGCGTCCGGAGCGCATCCAGGCCAGCGTGCTGGGCATTTCGGCCGCCTATGTTCGACTAGCCCGGCGACATGCAGGAGGCGCGTTCGCTCCTCATCCCGATCTCAATCCGCAGCAGCTGCCCGTGCCGCCGTTCCACATTCGCAAGACAGCGCGCACACTGTCGCTCAGCTCGCCCGCCGTCACGCACGTGCATGGGTCCAAATGGATGGAGGACCTGAAGACCATGTGCGATGCAGCCGAATCCCGGCTTGCGTTGAACGGCAAGGAGTTGGTCCGCCCTCGCAGCGCCGGCAAGGACAGCGCCGCCACCAATGCCCCTGCTTTTCACGAAGGAGACCTGTACTTGTGCTCGGAATCCTTGAGCGCGTTCGAAGGCGCCCTGGGTGGTGTCAGTGAAGGCGTGGATGCAGTCATGGGTCCGGCCCCAACCAAGCGAGCGTTTGTCTGCATCCGCCCGCCCGGTCATCATTGTTCGGCGGGTCATCCGTCAGGCTTCTGTTGGATCAACAACGTCCATGTGGGCATCTCGTATGCGGCCATGACCCATGGCTTGACCCATGCCGCCATTCTCGACTTTGATCTGCATCACGGAGACGGATCGCAAGATATCGCCTGGCAACAGAATCACAGAGCCGTTACTGCGCCACGGAATGCGGCTGCCCATCGAAAGACCATGGTGGGATATTTTAGTCTGCACGATATCAACTCCTATCCGTGTGAAATGGGCGAGCCAGAAAAGGTGCGTAATGCGAGTGTGTGTATCGACAAGGCCCACGGCCAGTCCATCTGGAACGTGCATCTGGAGCCGTGGAAGTCGGATAAAGAGTTTTGGGACCTGTATGCCGCCAAGTACACTGTGCTGATCGACAAGGCGCGTGCTTTCCTGCGCATGCATACCGAACGTCTGGCTAACACGCCCAATGGACCTCCGCCTAAGGCAGCCATTTTTATCTCAGCTGGGTTTGATGCGAGCGAGTGGGAGGGCGCCGGCATGCAGCGACACCAGGTCAACGTGCCCACCGAGTTTTATGCCAGGTTCACGGCCGACGTGGTGCGGATGGCCAACGAGGAGGGCCTGGGGACGGATGGACGGATCATCAGTGTTCTTGAGGGCGGCTACAGCAATCGTGCATTGACAAGCGGTGTGCTCAGTCATTTGTACTGGGCTGGGGGATGCAAAGGGCAGCACCCATGATGTGGACGAGCAGCAGATCAACCGTCTTGCCTCTGAAATGACAGATCGTCTGGGCCTGTCTAATTCAGCAGAGGGGCGATCAGTGACTGAACCGGTCTACAACAGTGAGTGGTGGTCACCAGGCGTGCTGGAGGAATTGGAGGCACTAGTTTATTCGCCGGCAGCACCTGTCAAGCCCCGGGAGAAGGCTGCACCGACCTACTTGACCACAACGCAGTCATTTTCTGCCAAAGTGGTCAATCCCCCGCGAGACCGCAGGTCGACCGGTTCGCACTCTAGCCCGGAGCCCGAAGCACCGTCTCCACCCCCGCCAGTCAGCTGGGCCACTGCCACGCACGAGCTATGCAAGGTTCTAATTCCGACCGGTCGGCAAACGACAAGCTGTCAGCCAGAGGAACTCAACGCAGAGGCATCGCGCCTGCGACGGGAGCGTCAGACAGCGGTGGATGCAGCCTCCACGAGCGCGACCACGGCTGCGGTTGCAGCTGCAGCTGCAGCTGCGGCTACGGCTACGGCTACGGCGGCCGAGGACAGCCGGATGAAGCTCCGCGTGCGAAAGCCCAAGCCCTCGCTGCCTCTGTCGCCTTCAGCCGAGACAGTCAAGCGTCCTGCGGCTCGTGGAAGTCGGAGAACCACCATCGACACAGCTCCAGACACAGCCCCGGCTGTACAGACACCCGCTCGCGTGACCCGCAGGAAGAGCGCAGGGGCTGGCTCAGCAGCATCGACCCCAGAGCCGACCGGGCCCAGACCCGCGACGAGTGCCACGGTGCGCAAAACCAATACTTCACAATCCAGCACCCCTCGATTACCCTCGAGCCCAAATACGCCTCCTGTGCCGCGGGTGCCGCCTGCTTTTCTTTCTGCAGAAAGCGAAGAGTCGCCGAATCCCGATGGGCCGCAAGATGATCTGGACAGTCTGACAGCCGGAGTACGCAAGCTGCACATCAAACTAAAGGTCCCGTCGCCGGAAGAGAACGCGGCTAGGGAGAGAGAAAGAGAGAGACGGATAGCGGAAGAGCGGAAGCGCACAGCGTCCAAGGCTACTTCGAAGACACAGACGCAGACGCAGACCCCCAAGTCACCTCGCAAGCCCGCTGGCCGGGCACAGACGAGCTCGGCTTCAAAGACGGCATCTCGATCTGCAGCGAAGCCTGCGCCAGTGGCCATTCATCCAGGAACAGAAGCCAAGGACGAGCCATCGATCGTTACGCCAGTGACCTCGTCACCGCCGTCCGTGGGCAAAATTGAAAGCAACACCACCAACGGCTGGGACAGAGGCGAATCCGAGGCTGCAGCTGGAATGGTCATGTCGCCGCCGCTGACACCAGGCCGTCCACCATCGGCATTGTATTCTCCTCCAGGGATGACATTGGCGCGGGACGGATTGCCGGTGATGATGTCGAGCGGGGTGATTCCATTTGCAGATACCGTACGGGGAATGCAGGAGGAGGAGGAGCAGAAAGGAGGTAATAATTGATCATTGTTGTGATTCACTCATTGATTTTCCTTGTGTTGGAGTTGATACTTTTGACATTGTTTGATATACCCCTCGTGTTGGAGTTTTCCTATGTCTTCTTTAAGGAATTGATTTTAGCAGATTAATTAATCCAGTGAATGCCACACATATCTCCGAGCAATCTCCGACCAGATCAGATAAAGTTGTGCACCGCCACGCTGAGTCATTTGCCTCTCCGCATGACTCCCGCCGGCGGGCGCTTCCAGCATCTGCCAGAAGCATTATTAACGATTTATCCAATCTACGGAGAATCACTCCCTCATATAACCTAACTCTCTCATTCCCCTCCCCTAACTCTCACTCCCAGTCAACCATAATCTCAAGAATACCAAAATGTCCCCAATACCCACCACCACCCCCTCCCCCAACCAAAAAGCATCATCAGCAGCAGCAGCAACAGACGCCGACCTCGACGCCATCGGCTCGCACTGCTCGCTCCCAACCTGCAACCAACTCGACTTCCTCCCGTTCCGCTGCCCCTCCTGCAAGGGGACATTCTGTCTCGAGCACCGCACCGAAACAGCGCATCAGTGCGCAAACGCACGTATCTCGCCATCACCATCCACCTCCACCTCCACCTCCACATCTACAACCCAGCAGCAAAAACCCACCATCTACACCGCAGATCAATGCGCACACATCTCATGCAAAACGCTCATCAATACACTCACCGACCCCGGCGTGCGGTGCGATCAGTGCCGGAAGGAGTATTGTCTCAAACATAGGTTGAGGGAGAGTCATGATTGTCGGCCTGTCTCGAATAATAACAGGAATGGTGCCAGAGGAGGGAGTGCAGCAGGGGGAGGGACGGATACGTTGAAGTCCATGTTTGGGAAGTTGCGCGCTTGGGGGAAACAACCTACCTCCTCTACATCGATTGGTGGTAGTAGTAGTAGGAAACCACCCAGCCGCGCGGTCCAACTGAATACCTTGAAACGCACCGCCAAGGGGGACAATAATGTTCCCGCTGAGAAACGGATCTATTTACATGTTGTGGGCACGAGCGAGACGACGAATAAGCCGGCGACGGATCCGCCCAGGGGGGAGTTCTTCTATGATGAGAGGTGGAAAGTGGGGAGGGTGTTGGATGATGCGGCGAAACGGTTGCAGGTGGAGAATCTGAATAATCGGGGTGGAGGGGAGGAGGAGAAGTTGAGGGTGTTTCATGTGGAGGGGGGCGTGTTCTTGGAGTTTGGGGAGAGTGTTGGCGGGAGGGTGAAGTCGGGGGATACGGTTGTGTTGTTGAGGGGGGCGGGTGTGGTTTTATAATTACCTCCAGGAGGGAGGGGATCAATAGGGTGTTTTGATCTATGGTGTAGATGAGGAGAGGTGGGGGGGAAATGTAGAGTATATACCCTTGGTATTTGAATCATATTTGTCTATAACAGTTCTACATCTATATACGAAGTATGGGATGCAGCTACACGCTCATCTTCATCTTAATCGCCTTATGCGGCTTATACCCAATCACCTCAAACTCCTCCTCTTTCCAACCATCAACGACCCCACTACCCCGATCTTCCCTCTTGATCCTCACCTCCGGAAACGCCACCGGCTCGCGCTCAATCTGCTCCTTCAACGCATCGACATGATCCAAATAAACATGCGCATCGCCCAACGTATGCACCAATGTCCCGGGAACCATATCCACGGCATGGGCCAACAAATGCGTCAACAACGCATAAGAAGCAATATTAAACGGCACCCCGAGGCCCATATCCGCACTCCTCTGATACAACAAACAATCCAAATGGCCCCTTCCCCACTCCCCATCCCTCACAACACCCTCCTCATCCCTCTTCGCATCGGGAAAGCGGACATAAAACTGCGCAAACATATGACACGGCGGCAGGGCCATAATCCTCATATCCTTAGGATTCCACGCAGACATAATAATTCTGCGATCGAACGGGTTCTCCTTCAATTTCTTGACCACCTCGGCTAACTGATCGACACCCTGACCAGAGTAATCCGTCTTGGCGTCGACATATTCCGCCCCGAAATGTCTCCACTGGAAGCCGTACACGGGACCGAGGTCGCCGACTTCGCGGTGCGAAAGACCGACTTTGTCGAGGTATTCGCGGGAGCCATTGCCATCCCAGATTTTGATCCCGGCTTCGCTGAGGGGCAGGGAGGAGGTCGTGCCGGAGATGAACCAGAGGAGTTCGGCGAGGACGGCGCGCAGGAAGACGCGCTTGGTGGTGAGGAGGGGGAGGATCGGGGTGTATTCTTTGATTCCGGTGGTCGTGTTGGTGGAGGGTTTGGAGAGCGAGAAGCGCATCTGTGGAGGGGCGAAGATCGAGCGGGTTCCGGTGCCCGTGCGGTCGGGGCGGTGCTCGCCTTCGCTGAGGATGCGGCGGATCAGGTTTAGGTATTGGTGTTCTTCGTGGGTTGGGTCATGGGGAATAGGTTCTTGGGGGGTGGTTGTGGTGGTGGTGGTGGATTGAGGAGTAGACTCCTGTGTCGGGAGAGTTTCGGCTGAGGGGGACATGTTGTTATAGTTCTATGTAGTGGCTATTTCTTGGTGTTTTGTGTGTCGTGGTATTTTGGTATAATTGGGTATAAGTGATTATGTGTAGAATGTCTGGTGTGAAGTGGGATGGTTGGAGTAAATGATGGATTGACGCGCCCGCGACGCGCCACGAGGTCATGTGATCGCGTCACGGATGTAATATCCGATCTCGGAAGTAGAAAGTAAGATCTTATAGATGGAGAGTGGCATACTACTCCGCTTTATTCTGGTATCTATTACTCCATCAAATCTACTCCCACCCCCCGCAGAGCCGTCACTACCCACTCCGGATAATTTGTCTTCTCTCCATACAAGTTCCCAAAGAAGTCACGCAAGAACGCCGGGAACCGGTCCTCGATGATCGCCTGCCGCGCCGATCCCATCAGCGACAGCAAATAGTGCACGTTGTGCATTGTAAGCCTAATAAATCATTAGTATACATCAGAGGAAATATCGCAGAGCAACTCACAGATGCGCTCCCACGGTCTCCTTCGCCGCCAAATGGTGCAGGTATGCTCGCGTAATGCCCAGTCCGCCCTGCTCCTTCGGTAGACAGATGCTGCAGGTGCAGCCCTCCTGCACCGGCCGGAAGTCCTCTGCGAAAGACCGGTGTCGCAGGTTCAATGTACCTGTGGGAACCACGGCGTTTCCGAAGCGCTATATCAATTAGTTGGAGTACATCGGATAGGGATACTAGACGTACAGCCGTCCGTGTCGGCCAGACACAGTCAAACATGTCCGCGCCGAGCGCAACTCCCATGATCAAGTCCTCGGGATAGCCCTAACCAGGTCAGCCTATACATACATACACCCGCTGAATGAATAACCTACCACTCCCATCACATATCGCGGCTTCTTCTCCGGGAGCAGTCCCGTGCAAGTATCCACCCTTTCCTGTCAGCCAGAACCCACATGGATAAAGGGTATAACATACACCTTGCAAAAGTCCTCCTTCGCCTCACCACCAGAGAGACCACCAATGGCAATCCCCGGTGTGTCTCGCGCCACCATTTCCTCGCAGCATTGTTTCCGCATTTCCAAATCCAGTCCACCCTGGATAATGCAAAACAGATTCTGTCTCTCGGGGTACTTGTGTGCGTCGATACAACGGTCCAGCCAGCGAACGGAACGCTCCATGGCTTCGTGGATTCTCGCTTGGTCTGGCGAAGTGGTCGCGATCACGTCGTCCAATTGCATGATGATATCGGATCCGATCGAATTTTGTAACGAGATGGAATGCTCGGGCGTGAGCAGCCTGTCAATGTTGTTTTAGCTTCGCCAGCTACCACACAGTTTACCCAAAGAAAGGGATAACGAACATCGGTGTGCCATCATGAGGACTCAAAAACCGTACACCCTCCTCTGTGACTGTCGCAAGTTTAAGCAAGGACACCATTTGGAATCTGCCTCCGTCAGTCAAATATTCCATTCACCAAGATATCATTGGCAGCGCACCCTCCACTATCTGTAAGAATATTTCGGTCCCATCCCTGCAACTTATGCGCCCCGCCTACGGCATCCAGCACCGCCTGTCCGGGTTTCAATCCAAGGTGGTAGGTATTATTCAGACAGAGCTGGCATCCCGTCTGTCGGAGCTGGTCGTACGTCAAGCCCTTCAAAGACGCCTGTGTCGCCACGGGCATGAAGATAGGGAGGGGGACATCGCCATGGGGGAGGCGGAGGGTACTGGCACGTGCTTTTGTTGTCTAGGTATAGATAGTAGTCAGCATACGAGTAGACTCTCAACAGGATTGGAATAACTAGCATACTGAACACTTAGCATGCAAGTCAAAGGTCAATGCCGAGGGCATGGGTTTGCGCGTGGCCGTGGGTGTGGCAGTCGACATGGTTGCGATAGTAGGAGCCCCGCTCGGAGCTGGAGCTGAAGAGGGGATGATGCGGGCAAGGCCTGCGGTTGCTGCCAAATTATAAGAGGCTGTTGGGGTGATGGATAGTCTGGTGCCTGAGCGGCAGCTTCTCATCCAATTCTGCGGGGTGAATCGAGCATACATTCATGAACCACCAGGAAGCATGTCGCTTTTCTGTCTGTCAGCGACTCTTTTTGTCTTTCTTGTTCTGGATCAATATCAGTGATGTTTGTCTTGTTTGTATATTTTGCACTTGGGTGGTATTATACCAAGAATGCTGTAATAGCCATACATAATTACAATACAGACATCTTCCCCGCATTTACTCCGTCTCCTCCATTTCCAAGTATTGCCGGTCCCTGCGGAGGTCAATCAATCTGGAGGATTCCCTGGAGAAGCCTATCTATCCTCCACATGGAAGTCCAATTATCCCCCACGTCTACCTACGAGTGCAATCATCAGCTGCTCGAGGAAATGAAAGATTACAGGCCCAATCGTTCCAATCAATCAACGGCACACAAACCTTGCATACCCGCCTGACTGACGCCCGCAGCAGAAAGAACTTCCGCTCAACTGAGCCAATTTTGCCGATCAGCCACTAGCAAGCAGCCATGCAGCTGAAGTAGCCTTTGGGGATGGCGGTCTGCCTCCGATTCGGGGCTAGTTGAGCTGAACTGAGTTGGAGTCAGCCGGTCTGTCGGTCTTCTCGCCTGGACTTTTCTGCGCTCTCTTTTCCTGTCGGTCTCCCTCTGACACATGGTTGAGTCACGGAGGTTTACGCAACGATCTATTGTGACAAGGGGCGTTGCTACTGCTTCATCATTATTGAGCTGCACGGCAGTCATTTCTCGCCCAAGACACTATGATGAGTGGGGAAAAGGAATTGGACCACGCTGAGAGCGTGCAGGATCTTGAAGCTGCTCCGCAGGTGAGCTTCCTAACTCTCCTCCCCTTCTATTTACAGACTCCTAATGGCGATTTAGGTAACCCAGGAGAGCTACGCTGGGATAGATCTCAGCATTCGTGAGAAAGCTCTGGTCTGGAAGCAAGACTTGCGCATTGTGCCACTCTGCGCGGGCATCTATCTTCTCTGCTATCTGGATCGTTCCAACATAGGTAATTGACATCCTAGGGCATGCAGTATAGTGTGCTGACAGACCAGGGAATGCCAAAATCCTCAACCAAGATACCGGCAATGATCTGCTCTCGGAGACCCATATGACTTCGTACCAGTACACGTAGGTATCTGCTGTCAAATCGACTGCGCGAGTGCTAATCATGCAGTGTCGCACTCATGGTGTTCTTGATCGCGTATGCGCTGTTCGAAGTGCCTTCCAACTATCTTCTCAAGAAGTTGAAGCCCAGTGTAAGTCGCCCCATTGCTTTCGGGGATTGGCTAACACAAACAGAGATGGATCGGTTTCCTCATGCTAGCCTGGGGAGCTACCACAATGGGCTTGGGCGGCTCGCACAATTTCTCCCAAGTAACTGGTATCCGATTCCTGCTCGGAGGTAATTAACGAAGATAGTGCTCAATTGACTTTTGTGGAATCTGCTGACCCTGACATGACAGCCACGGAGGCCGGTCTCTTCCCCGGACTCGTATACTACCTGACCTTCTGGTATCGCAATTCAGAGCGGTCCATGCGTGTTGCTCTCATCCTAGCGTCCGCCACTCTCGCGGGTGCTTTTGGCGGCGCCATTGCCTACGGAGTAGGACATATGAACGAGGTTCGCGGCCTATCAGCCTGGCGATGGCTGTTCATCATCGAAGGTGCTCCGTCGTGCGCCTCGGCTTTTCTCGTTTGGTTCTTCCTCCCTGACTATCCCGAGTCGGCTTCGTGGCTCAGCCCGGAAGAAAAGGCTCTTGCTATCCACAGACTGAAAGAGGAAGGCTCCCATGGGGCGGCCAAGGCCATGAGCTGGGAAGAAGCGAAGGAGATCCTGACGGATTGGAGACTATACGCGCACTATATAGTTAGTCCCCCAGCGCAACTCAGCGACAGGCCCTAACAATGCTTGGTATAGGTGTATTTCGGCATCTCGACCCCATTCTCTAGTCTTTCCCTGTTTACCCCTGCCATTGTCAGTGGCCTGGGATATGCGGATCTGCGGGCCCAACTCATGACAGTACCACCATGGGCTGCTGCCTATGTGGTGACCACGGTCGTTGCATGGTCCGCTGACTACTTCAACAGGTATGTAGCCATCTGCTTCCTTCCAGTGTAGTACTGATATATGAACCGAAACACAGCCGTGGTCTGCATTCCGCCCTCTTTGCGTTTATCGGAGCCATGGGCTTCCTCGCATCTGCCGTCCTTCCCGCAGACGCATACTTGGTACGCGCAAGCATCCATCTCAATCCAGCCTTTATTCAAACGACCACCCCGCTAATTCCTGCAACAGCACCGATACGGATGTCTCGTAGTCGCAGCTAGCGGCTCCTTTGCCTGCATCCCGCCATTACTCGGCTGGCTATCTGCCAATATCCGCTCCACAGCAGGGACCGGCCTAGCCATTGCATTGAACGTGTCATTCGGGGCGCCGGGACAGATTGTAGGGGTATGGATTTATAAGTCCGACGAGGAGAAGAAGGGTTATCCGACGGGACATTTGACGAATGCGGCGCTGCTGCTGATGGTCACGACGGGATGCATTCTGCTGCGACTGTATTATGGATGGAGGAACAAGTGGGCCAAGGGGGGTGAGAGGTTCGCTTATTGATTGATTAATTGATTGATTCACTGCGTGCTTAACAGGTTAGTATACCATGAATATATATTTGAAGTTAGGGTCTGTCAGCCTGGCGAGGGTCAACTCCTGTGTCGAAGGGAATAGTACTCACCAGCATCGATTTTTCATATCCGCTGCATCAATTCTTCTCAGGTCATCCCCTGGAGAACTCGAACTCAGAATTAATTCCAGCACTCCTCAGCAACCCACTTCGCATCCGAGTATTTCTTGCGTAAGTCTCGAGAAGTAAGACGGTGAACGAGTCATGCTAGTGCGAAAAAAAGAAAAAGGGACTAGCAAGAAAAAGGCAGTTAGTTCTGGACAACAAGACGCGCAGAAAACAAGTATTCCAGCGGGTCTTGGGACACAACCATTCGTAAGTCTCTCTGCTGGGTTTTTCCCAGGAGGGCCCTAGTGAAGCCCTGAATGGCATAATTGCTATCTACCGTATGGTGGAAGGGTGCGCGGGTCCCACGGAGAATAATAAATGAATGATTGGCATGCGAACCATGGAACCGGAGAGACTGGCGGGCGGGCGGGCACAACACGTGAGGGAAATAAGGTTAAGCTCAGGGCCATGACGGGCTGCTAAAACAGAGGTTTGGTTTGCCAATATTCAGCATCCCCTGGAGGTATAGGGGCCAGCCATCACTACTGTATCACCCGCTAAGCACTATCCAACCTGGTATCCCAGGGGTTTGGGTGCTGTGGATATTCCGCGTCTGACAAAACTCCCGAACTGGCGGTGGGACCTGAGGGTCTCCCACTTTTCTTTTCTTCACTTAGCGCTGACTGCCCTTGAGGAACTGCTCAGCGCCCAAATAGTGAAATAACCAAAATTTAGATTGATAGCATGACTTCATTCAAAAGTAAACGAGACAATGAAAAAATATCAATCCCGGTAGACATTAGTCTGTACACTCATTCATGGAAGGGCTTTCCCAACCAGACACTGCCTCAGAAAAAGACACAACGGTCTGGATTAATTGAAAAGAAACAATTCCCGAGAAGATCCCCTCAACTCCGCCCATAAACGCTGTGAGAAACGATAAGCAAAAGAAGACGAACAATTTTTTTTTTCTTTTGGTTTTGTCAATTTTCCCCTGTCTGCATTCAGCTGGCGCACGGCAAACCGCTCCTGCTCCGCATTGGGCGATCGCTTGTCTAGTGTGCATGGGCGATGGGCGCATTTCTGCTTCGTCGGAATTGGCCACAGATTGCTGAGCGGGCATAGGGAGGAAGGGGAAAAAAAATAAATAAAAGAAGACTGGCAGTCTGAGTCGCTGCCATGATGAAGGAGGAAAGAGAATAAGGGCCTCAAAACGAGCTCGATCAAACTGTCAAAAAACTCACACCTCGCACGAATCTGTTCTGTCGTCCTATAGCATTCGACCGGGGCCCGACTGTCTGTTTTAGAGAACTGGTGAATATGATAACAGGACTGTCAGATGCGCTCGCCGCCTGCGGCATGAATCAAAAGAATATGACCGGACCATCCGAGCCGAATACGGCAGGGGCACCGCAGAACAGTCAGGGGCCAAGGTTCATCCGCTCAACGGTAACCGTCTTCCCGCAGGAAGTGAACCTCAGCCATGTCCACAATCCACCCCATACTGTTGTCGTGCCATTCGGCGTTGGGAAAATAATCAAGGGAATCGAGCGGGAGAGAAGCAAACAAGTCTCGAGAACGAAGAAGGAAAGGTTCATTGTCGACATCCGAAATGTTGTACATATCTGCGAGACCTGAGGAGTAGGCATCAGTCCGGATAGCGTCGTACATAACATGCAACCTGAGCATAGAAAGAAATAAAAAGAACCGAAGTAGACGAGAGCGACAGAAAGGAGAGAGACATGAGTCATTCTCCTGGTGAACATCCAGACAAGATCTAGAAATACAGCCTCTCGACGGACATCAGGGGTTGGTGGTCTTGGTCAACGCCCTATAAGCGACCTCAGCAGCATCTTCTCGGGCATTGTTATGACCGTCGAAGAAGTATCGTCCCGGAATTATCCACGGAATATTCGGGACATGGTGCTGTACGGTGACCTTGGAGGTCCAAGCTGTGCGACCTCCTGAACAGCGACACACCCGTCAGTATAACCAGATCTTTTGTTTGACTTGGGAAGGCTCAAAAGTCGGTGAAGCACAGCTTATCTGCACCATCACAAGCACACAGTGGACAACAGCAAGCAATGAGGGGCAAGGAAGGGACATGGAACTCCAGCAACGAGGGGTAACCAGGAGAGTCGAAGGCTGGGAGATACGAAGAAAAGGGCTTCTCACCTCGACGATCCGAATCGTAAAGGTAAACCGGCTCCTTCAACTTGTTCTCGAAGCAGTATACTTTGTGAGAAGTCAGGGTTAGTTATCTGACAGAAGAAGGGGGCCGCCGTCACGGCTAAGTCGAAAGTGCAGAGAGGAAGATTATTGCAGCGGAGTGGGGCATACTTTCAAGTCTGTCCTGCCAATGCCTGCTTTCCTTTGCGGCCTGCGAAGTCTTGGTGGCCATGATGAAGGATGTGTGTGTTTTCGTTTTCGTAGTAGAAGAAAACAATTGGTGAGAATGACTGGCTTTGATTTTCACCAAAGAGAAATCAAAGCGCAGATCTGAATTGGGTTCGATATCCCACAACGGTTGGAGAACAAAACTCTCTCGCACGGCAGACAATACTTCACACCCTGAGTAATTGAAAATAATAGGAAGAGGGGTTTTCGACCACACAACACCAATGGATGGTCAGATCTTCAAAGTAGAATTGAGTGGGACTAATGATGGTTCAGATGAAAGATAGAAAAATATTTGCCAGTCCTTGTTGCTTTGTCTTGACTTTGCTTGGGGGATTTGCGAACTGGTCTGCTCTTTCAATCGAACAGCGTCGATAGACCTGGGAAGCGGGGAGTCATATAAACTGTGGGCCATACCCTCCCAAACCCCGAAATGTCACTGTGCAAGCAAGTCCAATTTGGCGTGACAAACACGGAACCTAATCATCAAACCTAACGGACGGGCTTATGCATGCCGATGTGGACATGGCACAGTGTCAGCAATTTCTTCCCCTCCTTATCCCCCTCCACTCAGGGAACGCCAGTTGCATGGAGTACATGCGGATCATTTTGAGGCTGCAAGCTGGAACGGGCCGGCGCACGCCGATTGAATGTGTGCCCTTGAAGAAACGCCAGGAGACAGGGAATAGGACCGCTAGTCTCCACACAGGCCAGATCTACTGACAGACAGGGGGGGGGGGGGATGGGGGATAATCCAAGACAAAGAAATGAAGCTGTGATACAGGGGGTAAAACAGAAAATCTGCCAGTTCGTAGTCATTGTTGTTTGACAACTCAGAAAGGACGCCTGGACTCCCGGTCTTCGTGGCTCGAGTTCTGCTTCTCCTGTCCCGCAAACGATGTATACATCGGGTAGGAACAAGCCACTCGCCTCATAGACGCTCTTCAGGAAGGAGGTCCGTCTCTTTCTGGAAGACATGGGACGGTTGACGGGGAACCTGAGAAGGCCTAGTAGTAGTTGCCCAAAAGCGGAGGAGGGACCCATAGACCGAATGGCGACGAATCGAAACCAGAGTATGATTTTATGTTGACCAGTTGGGCCACTCAGAATATTGGAAGCGGGCCCAAAGACCACCGTGCCAGCTCATCAAAAGACTCGAATCATAAAAATTCGAGCCATTGTCAATTTTAGACCCATCAAATGGTACCCTCAGCCCTAGAACAAAACGGTCATTGACCGGGCCGCTCTGCATGGGTACTTGTTATCGGGAAGGGGGCTGCAGAGTCCAGGGTGGCCAGAGCTTGCTCGATGGCATCACTATAATCCGGAAGGGGTAAAAAACGAAACCTTCAGCAGGGGTCTGAAAACAGAAAACAGTGTTGGAAGGCCAGCTTGTGCACCAGAATCACTCTGAGGGAGACACAAATTGCCAGCGAAGAGCGAGCTGGGTATGCTTGACCCAGGCCATTTCCGGTAGTAGAGATGCCATGATTCGTTGCTTTCCTCTGGCATTGTGTTGGGCATTCATACGTGCATCATTTCGATTCAATCTCTCTTCGCTTGCAATATGCAACTACTTGCGAACCACCTTAGAGGGGAAAGGGAAGGGGGGGGAAAAGAGACCGGGGGGGGGTTGTGTTAATAATTATTTCTCTGTTAGTTTATTGGAAGCAGCAAGGAAATCGTGGAAAGTGATGAAGAACCTGCATAAGCAAGCAAGATTGATAACCAGCGCGCCAAACAACGGGGAAGGCTGGAACGTTTCCACGAACCGCTTTTCGAGGCGGCGACCAGCCCGTTGATTCGACGCGCCGTTGCGTTTCTTTTTTGGCGACGAGCCTCGATCTGCCCCGCATCGTGTCTTGGAGAGGAGTTTCATCTGGAGATGGAGTTGAGTAGGATAATAGAACGATTGATTTAACAGTGGTGGAGACAGTAGACCGAAAATAAAAGAAGTTATCAAGGTTCCAGTAATCATGTCACTCTCCGGTAACATCTTGGAATAGTATCCCTACAAGGGGGTGGTGTGTACCTGGCTGCCATTCATTCCACCATCGATTCCCTCTTGTGGTGTACCTTCATCAGCACAGCAGTATCTTCTGGTTTCTTTTTTTTTTTTTTTTTTCTTCGTCCCATTCCAAGCCTAGCCAGATCATGCATGCTGTCCTCTTCGCTTGCCATCTGATCTGGTCCAGACCAGGGGTGGAACAAGTCAGGCAGACAAGGAACGAACTATAATCGCGGGTCCTGTTCCCCGGCCGGGACAGCAAGAGTCGACAGCAAGCTAGTAGCTGGCTAAAAAAGGTCCAAGGTGGCTGGCTGGGCATTAGGTTCATGAGATATGCAGCATTCTAAACTGACATGCGCAAGCGTCATCCCCAAGTTCAATGCTGATCATAATTCAAAATAGTACCAGGAAGATGCCAGCAGAGAGAAGGAAAGGTGAGGCTGAAACAGGCAGCCAACTCAGGTTCACACCACCCACTTGCTTGCCTAGTACTACTTAGTACTGCTAAGTAGTAAGTAAACTACTAAACTACATCCAGCAATCATCACCACCACCACCAACACCACCACCACCATCCACCCCCCTCATCCGAACCTGCACGACCCTCGGGTTCCTGTAACACATCATCGCCAATCATGCCGGTCTGTCCTTCCGGCAACCGCCCAAATGTACCACCCCCACTCCCCTTCCAACTGCGCAAATACCAGGAAGAAGTAGACAAGAAAAATTTAGAGCACATGGACCAACCAAAATTCAATGCGAACCCACCCTTGCCAAATCCCAATCTAAAAAAACAAAGAAATAGAAAATCCCATCATCATTTGCGGTCGTTATCGTCGTTAGAGCCAAGTGGTCGGCTAGCGAACCCCTGTCAATGAAAGTGCGCCGGTTTGCAAACCGGTCTTTCCCCTCACAACACGATGGCATGACGTGTTGCCGCCGTGTCGCCCTTGACCATCCGTTCTTCCTCCATCGATAGCCTATCATTCTTCATGCGGACCCTCGTCGGTGGAACACCTCATCGAGAAATCGCCGGGGACCCATGAGCTCAATACTCTTCGAAAGGGTTGAACGCATCGGCTGGATGAATTGGGTGTGTCTCTTCGTGTGCCATCGGCGTCGGATGCAATCATCAACTAGGGATACTAGGCCTGTGGCAACAAACACACTGTACACTAGTCAGCCCCAAACTCTAAAAAGGAAGACCATCGACCCGACACTAAAGAGAGGGGAGTTACTTACTCGGCGACGTCGGGCATCTTCTCATACACTGACGGGTCGCTGATCCACATGGATGATGGTGGAACCCATCCGCCCTTTTTCTCCTCCTCAGCTGCTTCCATCGGTGTCAGGATCTCTGGGACAATATGGGCGACAGTCTTGGATGTGCGCGTGTTAACCAGGTGATAGGAGACTTCGCGCAACTCTCCCTCTTTCCGACACTCGCGTCTCCATTGGTACCGTGTCGACCAGTACTCAAACTCATATCGCTTGGAGAGACCTGCACCCCGGCGCCTCAGTTCTACGTGAGCATAATTGGAAAATTCCAATAAAGTGCTATCAGTGAGCACAAAATGGCGATCCCAACCACCTCTGTGGTCGGAGGGCTTGTCCTCAAAAGATTCATCATCATCTTCCGCCGACCTATAGCCGGAGTCCTGGCGCTTATGTTCGTGGCTAGGCAGTGATCCGTGGCCACTTGAACCCGGCCGCAAGCTAGCCAACACACTACCCCAAGACCGTCGAAACACCGGATGCCTGTCCGAACTCGACGCGACAGGCCGTCGTTCGGAGTGGCACACTTCCCGCCCAGAGTCTCGACAGTAGCGTCGGAAGGAGCACTTTCGCGTAAACAGGTCATACATGCGAAGATGGAACAACGTTACATCTTGCTGATATCCGCCTCTTTGCGGCACCATCGTGTCGACGCGGAGGTTCATGTTTCCATCGAGTGTTGCATCGTCATGTCGAATCAGGAGTCGTCGAGAGGACGGGAATAGCTGCCCAAAAGTCGACGGGTCGGAAGGGACAACATCTGTTGAGAAAACGTCCAGCTGACGGTCGATTACTTCGTAGCGCGGGGTCTCTGGGGGATCATCTTCCGACGGGACCGTAGAGGCGTAGGTCGACACTGAGGCTTTAGGATCTTCTTCATCGTAAATGTCCATGTCTATGCCTCCTCGGTGAAGGGGAGTGGGTCGATCGCTGTAGATCGTAGGGGCCGTGCTTTTCGAGCGTTCCGAGACATCACTGTTAGTGGAACTGGAACTGCCACCGGTCCTCGAACCATTCCGGTAAGACGATGCACCGTGGGATCCCATGACGGCGCTAATGTGATAGGGGGGCGCCGTCGGATAGGTTGTGAAGCGATAATAACCAAGCGGACGTGCAAGGATGGTGGCGTATAGTTTTGGGTATCGTTCTGGCTGGTCGAAGAGTGACAAGAGACTGTTTCAATACCCGAGCCGATCCGACAGTAGCACTTAATTCCTAATCCAGGCAAGCTTAAGGGATAAGTTGCATATAGTAGGGGGTGGGAAGGTGAAAAGAGTGGTGGTAGCGAGTTAAGCACACAGGATGAGGTAGGGATAAATATGTATTTCAATCATAGCCTGATCTCGTGGTCCAAGCAACTTTCCCGCACAAAAGCCCCAGCAGTCTCAGAGTCCGTAGGTGAGGGGATTCGGGAAGAGCAGTGCACAATGAGGCAAATTTCAATCCAAGAGCAGGATAATTTGGTCAGATGAAGAGGAGGGGGGTGTTTCGGCGAAAGGGACAGGCGAGATCGAGCGGATAGAGAGAGAGGGAGAGGGATTGGAGGGGAGGGAGTTGGCGTGAGAATAAACACGGGTGTAGAATAATAATAGGAACCGTAATCGTGAATCGGGACAAAGAGCAGGCAGGAATCCGAGGTCAAGATCAGGCTGTGAACTCAGCCCTGGAACAATCCGAGGGGTGAGAAGCGAATGAATGGAGGGAATGTGGAAGGGGGCCGTGGATCATAGCAGATGACGCCAGGCTTTGCAGCACAAGGGGAGGGTTTCAGGGTATGAAGCGACCGAGATGACACACGGCATCCTCCCACCTCCATACAAGTATAGTAAGTGGGAGGGAAATGCGCGTGGCGCAAGAAAGTCCGTCGCAACGGAAGAGAACCAAAGGGCAAAAAGCACGGAATGAAGGATGGGAAAAGGAACGCCTGGCGAGGGCAGCCACGTCGGCCAGCGGAGAACCAACCAGCCAACAACTGACGGACTGACTGACTTGGCCATCTCTCACGGCTCTCTCCTCGCACATTCCTGTTGGTTGACCTGGTGCTTCTTTTCTTCCTTTTTTGGTCATCGGAATTTGTTCCTTCGAACAGAAAAGGCAAGAAAAAGAGAGAATAAAAAAAAATAAGAAGCATTAAATTTTATCTACGGGAGAAAGTTTCAGATTGCTTTACTTCTTCCTCGCCCACGCTAACAGTGCGGATGATGCTGTGCTGGTGATGCTGGCAATATCCTCGTTGTCCCCCGGAATCAGCAGATCCAAACGATACACAATTCTTCCAGGTAAGTCTGGCTGAATGATCAGCAAGGATTCTGCCTACAGCCTTGCCCTTGGGACCTTGGCTGACGGTAGTGCTACTACCAAGAGACTTCAACTGCGAAGACAATCCATGCGCATCTACAGAGCCCCAGGTATCATCATAATCATTTCTCAAACAGACTATGGCTGCTACTTCATCAGCCTAATTGGGATGACTCGTGCCTTATTCCGACCGCTACGACCACGAGGTTCTAGAATTGCCCAGACAAGGTTTAGGCTGCTTATCTTGAGTTACCTTTTCCTTGCAAGGGCATTTCTCGGTAGGTCTTTTGCCTTTTTCTCCAGTGCGTCCAGGATATTCTCCGAGACTCCCAGATGTGGACATTTCCCGACTGGTGCTGTAGCCCAAGATAGTCAAAGCCTGTTTGTATGCGAATTCTATCGTATAGTTGTAATCGCGTCAAAGAAGGTCGACGGAAGACACGATCCGGCGCAGACTGGGCGTTGTCCCTGCAGGAAATTTGCGACTTACTTGGTGCTTCGCACGCGGTGTGGATTGGAAAATATTCATTGCTGACCGAACGCTGAATGGAGAATGGCCGACAACCTATCAACAAACAATTCATCTGCTTAGCTTTTCTTTTTCTTGCAGTGGGAGAATAGTACTTTGTCACCGGAGACAAGGAGAAAAGAAAAACAAAGGTAAAAAGCCTGGAAAATACCAATGGTCAAGTCCACAACATCTATCAGATCGATGCCTGACTATACAGTACTTAGTGACCCAACGGTGGGAAACAGTACCATGGAACCGGCTGGGGTCGCCTCTTCGGATCGGACCGAATGAATAATCGCCCATGCTCTGCCTCTCTCTTGTGTCTCCCCCTTCAGGCAATCCGATCAGTCTCGCCACATCTCTAGCCAAGTTGAGTGTGTAAAAGTGGTGCGACACCTCAGATATACAGATCACCGGGGATTTCCATGTGAGAAGAGGCGGCTTTTGGAGGCGAAGACGTGGGGAGATGGATTCCGGGCTCGGGGGGCTTCTGTGTTGTCTTTTTCCCACCCAAAAACTCAAACACGAACCCTATTTCCGGTTTCTCTCCTTGACGACCCCCACAACGATGGGGCCTCCCAAGTGGGGCGCGGTCAGTGCCCTTGCCTCGCTTGTCTATGGATGCTGATGGAGTTTCTTCTCTCACCCTTCTCCATGGGAAAAATCGGAGATGGTTCGACATTCCACAGTCGCTTAAATGGACACCTGAAATTGTGATCATCTTTCTTCCTTTTCTCGCCAATCAAGCCATTGTGCGGACGGGAGATAGCGACCCCAAGGCATCAGTGCAGTCTACTACTAATTCAAGCAACCATCGGACACTTCCCAACCAGGTAAATGTGCAATACACATTACTAGTCGGAGATGATACCCAGTCCCTTGCACCATACATGCACCCGAGGTTTGGAGTGATCTGCTGTTGCAGAACCAACATCAGAAGTACGAGACACTGTTTGTCTATCGTTGTACGTCACACCCATTGTTGTACTTCAATCTCTTCCATGAATCCCCCCCTACACAATGTCCACGCTGTCAACAGCAACCTTGACATACTATTCTTCTCTCAGTGACAGCCTGGTGCATAGTAGCGTCATTTAGACCATCTAGACCCGGAACTATCGGACCGACCTAAAACCGGTATCGTAGATCAAATGTAAGCTGACGGCTGACGGTGGTACAAGATTCCAAAATTCCAACAATTCCACTGGCACTGACACTGACAATTGGCTTTCTGTCTTGGTCAGTATCATCAATTCATGAATCAGGCCAGCTATCTCGAAGGGAGGGGAATGGAGGAGGAGGGGCTATTGACTTGGCTGATACATACCACTACGTCACAGTCACACCCAGAGACATCATTAACATCACCAACATTACATGCCTGCCTGATGAGGATCTACTGAGTGCTTTCTACTCAGCAATTGTTACTGATGATCGTCAATTTTCCCCATGTACTGTTGACATGAATATTCTAACTGCAGATGCACTCATTCCTCTACAAAACAGATGAGATATGTAAACATGTATGTATGAGTATGTATGATATCAAACTTCAGATACTTTGGTTTCTGCCCACTACCTAGCACTATGGTACATACCACATAGTAAGTAGGTGAGCTTGGAAGGGGGATAGGTGGTTGCATAAGTTAGTAATGCCCAATGCTAACTGGTGTCATCATATCATCCTACCATATCTGGAACAACCTCCTCAGTTTACTCCCAACCATCTACATCCTACCAGATATACTACCAAAATCCACCTTCATTATGATCAACACACCCGTTTGAGTGCACTTGTATCCTCATTAGCAGCTAGCAACTGAGCTACTAAGTGTACCAATTGCTCGCTACGGCCTGAATAATACTGAGTAATTATGCCAGATTGCCATACGTCAGGATATGATATGGTCAGTAAGTTGAAACAAAGGGAACTGTTTCAGCTAGTTCACCACACTGCCATTGGATTGATATTCACCTTCACAACTGTCAGTTCAGTTTCTTCGTACTTCGTTATTAAGACCACAATAGATTCATGCAGCTCAATAGGTCCACTTACATATATATATATATGATATATGAACTATGCATCAAGCATATACTACTGGTACGTGGGGATTTTATCCCAATATATCCAAAATCTCTAGGAATTTCTTGTAAAGGACGTGCCAATCAATATCCAGCTTCTGTCAGGGTCCGATTCTAGACAGATTTGATGAGTTGGGGGAACTACGGCTCTAGAGCCAGGTGCAGGCAAAGAAGAGATTGATCATAGAGAAGAGATCGTCTTCTATCTACAGTATTTTGATAATCAAATGGGAAGAATAATCCGAAGATGATCGCGTCATGAAGATACTCTACAAGTCCATGCGGGTCGCACCTTCCCTATGTGCCCAAATCAATTGTAGGTCTTGGTCTATCCTACCTTGTATATGATCCTATATCCCCACAGGTACCGGTAGAAATTCACTCACGCCAGTATTACAAGAGATAAAATTTACAATCTGCCCGAAGCATACCCTTTGAATCAAACACACCGAAGCTCTATAAGACTGCGAAGTTGTGAAGGTCAACTTGAACTCGCCGCAAGTTCATGGACACATATACCAACAGCTCAAACCTGCGTCCAGAGCGGTTGAGGCAGTTCGTCGCCGGGCTGTATCATCGCTTCCTGACGGCAAGCCTTCGATCCGGCCGGTGGGGATATGGGTCCTGCTCGACTGCTTGGGGCTGGCGGATAGAAGCCAACGTAAGCCTCGCGGCGGGCAGGTTCCCCGACGGTGACAGACCAAGTGTGCAGGCCATAATACGACGCGATGGAATGGACGAGCCAGCGACTGAAGGTGAGAACATTATGGTAAGCATGGATCGGCGATTTGAATAGGTGAGTCTACACTTACCCGAATCCAGCTGCCCGGTCGTCAACCAGGCTCTCAAACACCATCTTCTGCCCATCATGCTCATGATGAGCACTCATTGCCTCACGCATCTTTTGGAGTCTTGCTCTTCTCTGAGGCGAGTCGTGCATCAGGCCGTTTCGACCCACAAACACGATCTCATCTTCAGATTCACTGTCGGATGATTGCGGGGCATCTGCCAGACCCTCCTGCTTCAGTAAACTTTGCTTCTCGTTCCATCGCTGGATGAATTGTCTGATGTCCTCTTCGATATCTTGAAGTATACCGCGTGCTGCACGTGCATGCTTTAGTCTCTGTCGCAGCTCCTTAGGAACACGATGCTTCTCGGTCCGTGTCTCCATCTGCTGGGATGACCTATGGTCCAGATGCGCATAGTGATTGTCCCAGAGAGGTGCAAGGTAGTAAGGCAAAGGGTCGTGACGAGTGTGAGTGGCTTGGATATCCCAATCCTTTGAGGATGGCGGCTCGGCCCACGGATTGTTCAGAAGACGATCTTTGCAAGAAAGCACATTCTGTCAGCATCTATCGAGTGCAATGATAAGGCACGTCCGGCCCAGGAAAAGCGCGGAAGCCCAGCCACTGGCGTGTATCCGATATGTCAAGACATACCATTCTCCCAACGCTGCCTGCGACGACTACCATCCTTTCCCTTCAACAAGGCTTCGCGCCTCTTGAGACTATCACGGCGAATCGGCTCGCGGCGCCGAAAGGTCACCGACGCCACCTGAGTCTCCTTGGTTGGCTGGCCTAAGACCTTGACCTTAGGCGCGGAAGGGCTTCCCGCTGTCGGGACTGGGTCATCTAAGGGAATTGATAACGAGACTGTGGTGCCGCGAACGCCTGCGCGCGTAGGAGTGGACTGGGCAAAGGCCACATTGGAATCGGCGACCGGCACTGACTCGGAGAGAGTCAGACTCTCCAAGGATGCAGCTGCCTGTTCAGTCCAGACGGAGATAGCGCGAGCCTGCTGTGGTGAGAGGGATCCTCTCGGGTTCACTTCAGATGGGAAATTCGGATGAATGGCCATGGTGAGAGCGCAACGCGGTTTCAGAGGGGTGTCGATAACGGGTAGGCCTGTGGGACAGGGGAACCGGGATAATGGGGGGCGGTTAAACACAGAAAGAGTGTCGCAGCCTGAGGCGAGAGTATCGAGTACTCTGTAGTACTCCAGGAAGAGACCACTAAGGCAGTGACTTCTGGAGAAGACGACAAGAATCGGGGGAGGCGGGGGGGCGTGGACGAAGGGAAGCCCTGCTCACAGATAAGAGGAGATAACCACCGCCTGCAGTCCGGTCGCGTTCGGCGATCGAGCCCAGTCGGTACAATACGGTAAGCGCTGAGAATTCCGGGCTCGGATCCACCAGTTGACTCCCACTGGGGCACGAGAATCCTCAATGGCTGGTCATTGGATGCCCTTGACGCTTACCCTAGCCCTACCTGCCTGAATGGGTGTTGAGCCAGGAACCTTCTGTGAGTCATCGTGACTGCCAGTGGCGCCCTGATTCGCGCGCCGTTGGCTTCACGCGACGTGCGTCTATCCGCATCTCCCGCGGCGGTGATGTAACTCCCTCGAACCTTGGAAAATGGGACTCTCGGATTGCCATCTTATCTTTCAGATATTCCTCACCCCAGGCCTGTGTAAGTACTTTACAGCAAGGTATTGTGGTGTGTCTCCTACTAGTATGGGTGACTGGACTGGACTGCTCCGTAGATCCCTCTTCAAAGCAGCGTGCGAAATGTCCCAATAATACAGCCGTAGACAATGGCTTTCAGACACGCGCCCTTCATCAAATCCATAGCTTTTTCGGTCAACACTGTATGTTGTTCGTGTGGCAAGATTGGACGCCTTTTTACGATCAAATCGAATACCGAGCGGGATTGTGTAGCCCCGGTTAACTGCGAACCTACCAACGAAAAGTAGTTGCCTGTGGTGGTTGTCATACAATAAGTTAGGTTGGGGACATCCCCTGAAGAGGAAAATCCTGGTGCCTCAGGTACCTACCCCACGATTCACGGCAGCCAGCAATGATCCGGGCTCAGGTACACGGACTCGTGACGGTCGCACAACGGGACCTACATTAGTATGGCATAGTACAAGGGTCGACATATGCGATAGGAGTAGAGTCCGCCTTGACAATGTCTAAGAAAGCATGCTGAGCCCCCTCCCCCAGTGTTTATAGGTGAGTAGGAATGGAGTATAGTGCTTGAGTGCTTTCACGCTGGTAAACGGACCCGCTGGGCGGCTAGACTGCCTTGTTTTCGGTCTAGGAACCATTCAAGATTCAACGGCTACAAGTCAAGTCAGACCATCTATCAATAGTGCGAGATAGCAGAGAGTCGGACCGGAGTCTCACAGGCATCCTTGGCGGTCGAGGAGTGATGAGTTGTGCGACCAGCGCGTGTTCCTTATTTAAGCCGCGCGCGCACCTCTGACGCAACGGTCTCAAAGGGGGGTCTCACCTCTTGCATGTTCGGCTGCATTCAATTCGACCTCTCCGTGTCTGTCTAGCATCACCCCAAATCCTATCGGAATAGTCCTCCGGTTAAGTCAACATTGCAAATCAGTCCTTTCATTTTTGCCCAGCTCAGCGCTCGGCCTTCTGTGACCCTTGGAGCCTGATCAATTGCCGAAAGGTGTTCGGGCGGGTCAGCCTTGGACAGCTCATTTGCAGTGCAGAGGTTCATCAGCATCAGCTGTACTACTTGACTTCCTATCATCATTATTGATTATTATATTATATCCTATCTTCTCCGCCAATCTTCCATCGCCGGTAGTTTTTCGTAGACAACATGAAGCTCTCAATAGCTCTTGCACTCGGCGCAACGGCTTCGACGGGGGTGTTGGCTGCTGTTGTACCGCAGCAAGAACCGCTGATAACCCCCCAAGATCCCCCAACTCATCATCATCAGGAGAAGTTCTTGATCGAGTTGGCTCCTTATCAGACGAGATGGGTTACCGAGGAAGAAAAGTGGGACTTAAAACTGGTATAGCAACATTCCCCATTTTATTACTGTCACAATAGCACATCTCACTGATCGCTCTGCGAATGTTCCATTAGGATGGCGTGAACTTCATCGATATTACTGAAGAACGAAACACTGGGTTCTACCCAACGTTGCATGCTGGTAGCTATGTTCACTATCCGCCGACGATGAAGCATGCGGAGAAGGTGGTTCCCCTTCTGCGGGGTCTCTCCAAGGACAACATGGAGCAAAACCTCAACAAATTTACCTCATTTCACACTCGCTACTATAGGTCGTCCACTGGTATTGAGTCCGCAAAGTGGCTATACAGTAGGGTTTCGGATGTCATTGAGCAGTCGGGTGCAGCAGAGTACGGCGCCACTGTGGAGCAGTTCGCTCACTCATGGGGCCAATTCAGTATCATTGCTCGGATCCCAGGCCAGACTAACAAAACTGTTGTCCTGGGCGCACATCAGGACAGCATCAATCTTTTCCTCCCCTCCATCCTAGCTGCACCTGGTGCCGATGATGACGGAAGTGGAACCGTGACTATACTCGAAGCTTTGCGTGGTCTGCTGCAGTCAGACGCCATTGTCCGGGGCAACGCTTCCAACACAATCGAATTCCACTGGTACTCGGCAGAGGAAGGTGGTATGCTTGGTTCGCAAGCCATATTCTCTCAATATAAGAGAGATAAGCGAGACATCAAGGCGATGCTTCAACAGGATATGACTGGTTATACCCAGGGAGCTCTGGACGCCGGTCGTCAAGAAGCCATTGGGATTATGGTTGACTACGTTGATGAGGGACTGACACAATTCCTCAAAGATGTCACTACTGAGGTAAGGTCACTCCCGCTTTCCTTCTTTGTGAGACATATAACTAACGATTGCGGTCAAAGTATTGTGGTATTGGCTACATCGAAACCAGATGTGGCTACGCCTGTTCGGACCACACGTCCGCAAGCAAATATGGCTATCCCGCAGCTATGGCGACGGAATCCGAAATGGAAAACAGCAACAAGAGGATCCACACGACTGATGACAGCATCCGGTATCTAAGCTTCGATCATATGCTGGAGCATGCGAGGTTGACACTTGGCTTCGCTTACGAGCTGGCCTTTGCTCAATTCTAGTGTCCTTCATGATTTTACGTTGTAACCGGGTCTAGCAGATAATTCTGGCTAACTAGTGAGGCTTATATGTGTTCAGGTTTCCTATGTCGGTTTATTGTGGCATTAGACAAGATTACAGAGTAACCAATACTCCATTTTGTAATGGAATAGATGTCTGAGGCCCAAGTGTTGGCAAGGAACCTTGCCTATATACCACAGATTAATACTATTGGCTTTGGTGATTCAAGAATAGGCCTATGGCTGGACTTTATATATGTTGACATTCTATTTTGTACCGGCAACAGACTCTAACACTAGCACCTAACAAATAAAACACGTGTGACTCTTATGGGTGGCATGATGATAGTCTGCAGAATGGCCCGATAAGATAAACGAAGGAGATCCTACTATACCCGATTGAGTCACACTAGCCTGAAACAGAAAGACGGTCACTCCGCCGGGGCGATCACTTCCACTGGCTTCAATCTTCGAGTCATTCCTGCGGTCTGTTTTCTCCTTGTTACCACTCCCTTTGCCCTTCAGATCAGATCCTGAACGGAGAAAGCTCACCCTTCATACTACATAATATTCTACATAACTTGCTTGGACTGAATTGGCGATATTCCGTCGGTCGCTCCTATCTATCGCCTACGTCACCAGCGGTGCCCCTCCAAGGAAGACCCCACCATCAGACCTTGGATCCGATATTAGTCGGTGTGTGGTCTCGAAAGAGGTTGCAACAACTTCTCCGAGCTCCAAGATACCGTTGATCGCGAGACGACCGAAAAGGCAGCCTAATTGGGGCGAACTACCTCTCAGATATCTTTTCTAAAGAATTCTGGCTGGATACTCAATTGAAAACTCAATTTCTCATCGAGTGGTATGGTACATACGGCTACCATGGAATCTACCGACCCCTACGCAAAGGAGCTTCAGATTGCCTGTCTCACAGTTCAGAGAGCCACGCTCTTGACGAAAAAGCTATTGGAAGCTGTGGACAAGGGGTCTTTCGACAAGAATGACGCCACCCCAGTGACAATTGCTGATTTTGCTGCACAGGCACTGATTATCGCTGCCATTCACCATGCTTTCCCCGACGATGAGTTTGTCGGAGAGGAGAGCTCAGATGCTCTTCGATCCGATCCTGCTCTCCTTGACAGGACATGGGAGCTGGTCTCCTCTACCCGCCTGTCGGACGAGGAAAGCGATGCGCTGCTCTACGCTCCGAGCAGTAAGGAGGAAATGCTTGATTTGATTGACCTCGGTGCTCAGGGCAACTGTAGCAAGCAGAGCCGTGCTTGGGTTTTGGACCCCGTTGACGGCACCGCAACCTTTATTCAAGGTCAGCAGTACGCCGTTTGTTTGTCACTGGTGGAAAACGGCTACCAGAAGGTTGGCGTCTTAGGCTGTCCGAATATGAATCTGGAGACGGGTCGCCTTCATGAAAACATCGTCGACCGAGATGGCTACGGGCACCAGGTATTCGCCGTTGCCGGACAAGGCGCATTTATTCGGCGAATGGGAACGGGAGCTCTCCTCCCCTCGCGCAAGATCGAGCCAAAGGCGCAGATTACGGACCCGAAAGATATCGATTTTGTCGATTGCGTGTCAGCGACATCATCCGACAGGAACATGCATGCCCGCCTTGCGTCGCATTTGGGTGCACCTTGGCCGGCCTCGACGGACCTCTGGGCCGCGCAGCTGCGATACATCGCCATCGCAGTGGGAGGTTGTAATGTGATGATCAAAATTCCGCATAAATCTTCCTATCGGTCGAAGATTTGGGATCATTCAGGTGGCATGTTGATCGCCGAAGAACTCGGATGTACTGTTAGTGATCTGGCGGGTAATCCAGTCGACTGCAGCTTGGGCAGGACCCTGTCTGGTTGCTACGGGATGATCGTTGCACCTTCGTCCATCCACAGCCGGCTCGTGGAGGCAGTGAAACAGATCATGTAAGACTAACGGTTAATCCGGGGTCTGGGTTGGCGGATGGGCTGCCTTGACAGTCCCCGCTTACGGCTTTTGCTTTTTCTTCGGGGCTACTAGTTTTATTATTATCTCACAACCTAGTGTTTGATGAAAGAGCAAGGCTACGGACTAGTATGCCGTGACTATGCAGCCCCCCAAGTGGTTTGACAGGACAGTTCGTGCGTGAGGGCCAGGAGTACTTGTTGGGCTACCACAAGACGAACAAGACACCCGGCGGTATTCGCGCGCAGATGCATTCGAAAAGGGTACTCTTGCTGCATTTTGTCTGCTCACTGGCGGAAGAGACTCTCGGCTGCATGCGCCAACAGGACCGTGCACTGATCGACAACGTGGGGACGGCGATCAACGGCATATGACGACCATTGACGACGAGATGGCGATGATGGAGGGAGGACAGGAGCATGCAGTACCTCTATAATGCGTTCTGTTTGCATATTTACCACTGTTAGCGTTTTATCGCGTCCTCTGATGTTGGATAGAGATCGATACCTTTAAGGATGATGTCATAGATACTAGTCGTCACCTCATTGTGCTGAACCAGGGAAAAGGCCCCCACATACCGTAGTACACCAGCTCCAAGCAACGAGCTAAGCAGGAAAGAACATCTAAGAGACGAGTAATACTACGCAACACGACATCCGGAAGCACGGCAGTCCCGTGATGGCTGGGCGGGCTGGCCAGTGAGAGACGCGAGAGCCTGTCAGGAGATCAGGCAATGCGGGGGAGCTGCCGTCTCCCTCCCAATGACATCCTCCAGTCTCCTTCAACTAAAGTACTTTTCCTACTTATGCTTCGTCGCTGAAAATCCTTCACCTCTGCTGTGCTACGCAATATAACCGGATGTCCTTCCCTTCTTTCCCAGTCGGGCTCAGAGTTCGCTCTTCCTGATTCTAGGTCTCCTTCGCCCGTTCACCCTATCCATCCCTACCTCTTAATCCATAGCAGTCGCTATGTCGACCTGTGAGTTCCTCCCCCTTGTTTCCTAAGACACTCTCACCTGCGATACGCCGTTTATTCATCAGTTACTGATTGTGATGTTTCCCAGACAATCCATTCTACTAGGCGAGAGTCGCACGGCAGGTTCTCACTTGGAACCTATCGCGTCCTCGTTCCCTTGTCGTGGCTGCTCGTGGTGGTCGTCGGCATCTACTACTCCTCCCATGCCCCCGATGTCAAGCATGGCCATACCATCTGGAAGCAAGCCAACAAGCATATTACTCCATTTAGCTTGAGCACGGTTATTGCTGGTATCTATTGGTAAATCCACCCAGGTTTCCTTCTATGACATCTTTAATATATTGAGCTACCAACCTTGCTCTATGATTACCAACCTATTCTTACGACCTGCTACTTTAGGATCATAACCCTCCTGTCTCAAATCGGCTTTGTCTACCACCTTTTCTCCAATGATGCGGTAACGGCCACCGCCGCCGCCAATGTAGGGTCACATTTTATCCTGAACAATTTGTTCATTTTCGCCTGGATCCTTCTGTGGACTCGTAACCACTTCTGGGGCTCAGAAATTATCCTGATCGCGCACTTCCTGAATCAAAAGACGACCTACTGGCGGCATCGCACACTACCACCTCTTGCGCATTTTGCCGCTGTCGCAGCGCCCTACGCCTGGACTCTGATCACTCTCTTCTGGAACGGAGCAGTTGCTGTGAACAGCAACAGCCTGCCAGCGAGGATCGTCGCTAATGTGTTCATTTGGGTATTGTTCGCGCTGGGATCGACGCATATCTTGTCCACCCAGGATGACATTCTGGGTTACAGTCTGAGTCTCTTGACGCTGGGTATGTATCAATACAAAATTATCTGAAAAAGTAGCGTCACAGCGCTAACACCTCTGCAGCATTGGCCGTCAAGCAGTTCGGCGTCAAGGTCATCTCCCTACAGTGGATATTTGCCATTGTCATCTTTGCTGTCTTCTTCGCCGAGTCCCTCTATATTTCCCTGACGAAGTACTCTGGGCGCAACATCTTTTTCCGCAGGGCCGGGCAGCCGGCGCCGGCAACCAATCGCGAGAGGGAGCCGTTGCTCAACGATTCGACCCAGCCAGCACAAACGGCCTAATTAAGGGCTATGAATCAATCGCCATCTTACGCGCTTGTCAGGAAGCAGGTGGCTTTGTGAACATGAATCCCAAAAAGTGAGTCCATTGCGCTTAATGTCTGAGCCTCTTTTCGGGTCTAAGTTGGGTTGTTCATTTATTGTCTTGTTGTGCTCGGGTAGTACTACAATTCCTTGACTGCTACAGGACTGGGGGGATTATGATATATTAACGACACGTCAGTTTATGGGCTATACAGTTGTGGGTGTAATATGGCGAAGATGGATTTTGTCAACTTGATGGATATGTTGTTAGTGTGCTTGGGAACCTAATTTGTCTCTACTCTAATTATCAGCCTTCTATATTTACTGTTTTGGTCAAGCTATTGGTGAGCCACAGCTAATCGTCTACGGGCACGCGGAACTGGAATGGACTGGTGTTTACGACCGAGTTCTCCACAACATATGAGGTTATATATTGCTAGCTGTAAATCTGCACTAACCAAGGACTGTGGTCAAAGGATTATATTGCGTCCCAAGACCGTGCTCCTTGAATCCGCACGGACCTCAAATAAAAGCAAGCTCCACGGTTCGGTAGTAGAAAATGCAGTTGGCGAGGGGCGGGTTGGTGGTGGTGGTGCCTGAGGAGCCGGGCGGGATCTCGCCCACGGAATCGCACGAGGAAATGGCCAGAAAGTCGAAGTAAGGACCAGAACTGAATATCCGGAACATCGCCAGGAACCAAACGCCCACAATTACGAAGAGAGCCAATGACCATTCAAAATGGGTTTCCCCAACTCTCCTAGCACGATCACTCGATCCATGCGATGTCTCTCAGCTGCAAGGATGGTCGCCCCGCTCGCTCTTCCAAGCTTCCGTTGCCCTGGTGATATCCACGCTCTCCAGGCGCTGCTGTTCGTCAGCGCAGACCGATTACGACGGCAGTTTAGGCGCCCGTATCCAAGGTGATTTCATAAGAAGTGCCTGGGGCGGATCTGATCGGTTCCGTTCACTTTATCACCTGCCATTATTCAGTGTTTGACGCTCTGTGTGTGCGTCTGTGGTGTGGATCGCAACCTTTGTTTATAAGGAAGCTCGAGTGCCGCATCCGAGGTTCTACTCCATTTCTTCAACCGTGATCCGATCGCTTGGTTTCCGCGATACATTCCTCCAGATCTCTGACATACTTGGTTTGTTTACTGGTACTACCAGGCAACCAACTGCCTCCTGTGGATAGTAAGTGGCATTCCCCATCACCCCGGATCTGGAACTGTGTGGGCAATGCAGACGTGCTAACCGTGGAACCCGTTACCTTTAGGAATCCATAAACCAGTGCTATTTACGTGCCTTCAGTTGAGGTCATCTCAACAGCTGGTGCAGTAACCACACGGATACCTGAAGAACTATACTGTGCCACTGCAACGTTTGATCATCGGATACTATGCACAATTGAGTGACGGGCAGATAATCATGAACAACTCGTCGCGGATGTATGTGCCGGCGCACAACCAGGAAGAGGAGCCGCCGGCATATGATACGTACGAGGACCCATACTTTACCGAACATGAATCTCCTCCGGCAGCATCTCGTGCGCATGGAGCTACTATGCGCTTGCTGCCAACCAGCACGATTGTAGAAAGCGATTTGAGTGCCGATACAGGAGTTAGCTCAGAGTACCACTACGGGGATCCTTTTGTCGATGACGGAGAGTAAGTAATAGCCATTCTTTCATTTTACCTTATCACACTAAGCTATGGCTTCTGGCATTCCGATGACTCTGTTTGGTATCTGCCCTACGGCGTGGAGCTCCATACCAATTCTCCCCTTGTTGACATGGTCAATGCTGTTGAAATAGCTGTCTGGGGAAAGCTCAGGCCTGGTGACTGAGAAATATCCAGTCTTTTTGCATGCCGTGATTTCCCTAGCAAACACTGTCTTCGCTTTTCTGCGTATAACTGGGATGTCTTCGGACATCCGGCACAACTGCTTTCAATATGATCTACGAAATGATGGTTATGAAGCGGTCTGCTAACTCGCGTGCTCAAAACAACCGCAGAAGTGAACGCCAGCGATACTATCCCTATGAACCAACCGAATCTCCTTCACGACCTGTATCGAGTCTGGGAAACGTACCGACCATCCCCCCGCCAGCAGCATCAACGGTAGATGTTCCACACTATACCTCTCGTCCGGGCTCTCCCACACGGCCTTGGTCGCCTAACCGTGTCGGGAACTGGGCCAGACCTCCAGCTCCCCCTTCAGTCGCAAGCTCGCAATATGAACGTGCAGATCTCAATGGTAGTCCACGACCGGGCACCCCCAGCTCAAGATATGGGGGGAGCCCTCGCCGTCCGTTGCCCCCAGCACCGCTTTTTTCAGCCCCGGGTGGACATGATGCAAACATCCCAATCAATGATGCAGGCGACGATGATGTATTCGGTGGTGGTGGGCGGACAATTGACCCTAACAATCGAGCCAGTATGCAGTCTTTTATGAGCGAGTCTACGATTATAACAGATGAGAAGGATGCCATGTCGAAAGTTGACTTGGACGATGAAATGGAAGAAACAGATGAAATGGTCGACCCTAACATACATTATGGTCCAGCTCCAGAAAAGCAGAGCCGCCGAGGTGTTCGTGAGGCGCAGATGTCAACCAAAGAAGTCCAACTGATCAACGGTGAACTGATCTTGGAATGCAAGATCCCAACTATCCTGCACTCTTTCTTGCCTCGTCGTGATGACCGAGAATTCACCCATATGCGATACACTGCAGTGACCTGTGACCCCGACGACTTCACGCAGCGAGGCTACAAGCTGCGCCAACAGATTGGCAGTACTATGCGTGAGACTGAGCTGTTGATTTGTATCACAATGTATAACGAGGATGAGATCGGCTTCACTCGGACTATGCATGGTGTGATGCAGAATATCACCCACCTTTGCTCGCGATCCAAGTCCCGTACCTGGGGTAAGGATGGTTGGAAGAAGATTGTGGTCTGCATCATCGCCGACGGTCGTAAGAAGGTGCACCCGCGGACCCTCAATGCTTTGGCGGCTTTGGGTGTCTACCAGGAAGGTATCGCCAAGAACGTTGTCAACCAGAAGCAGGTCAACGCGCACGTCTACGAATACACGACGCAGGTATCGCTCGATCCCGACTTGAAGTTCAAGGGCGCTGAGAAGGGCATCATGCCGTGCCAGGTGCTCTTCTGTTTGAAAGAACACAACAAGAAGAAATTGAACTCACACCGTTGGTTCTTCAACGCTTTTGGCCGAGCACTACAGCCGAACATTTGCATCCTGCTCGATGTGGGTACCAAACCTGCGCCTACCGCACTCTACCACCTCTGGAAAGCGTTCGACCAGAACTCGAACGTCGCGGGAGCGGCTGGTGAAATCAAGGCGGGCAAAGGCAAGGGTATGCTCGGTCTTCTGAACCCTCTGGTTGCCAGTCAGAACTTCGAGTATAAGATGTCCAACATTCTGGACAAGCCGTTGGAGTCTGTCTTCGGTTACATTACTGTGCTTCCTGGAGCGCTCAGTGCGTATCGGTTCTTCGCACTGCAGAACGACGCCGAGGGTAATGGCCCTCTGAACCAGTACTTCAAGGGAGAAACTCTACACGGACAAGATGCAGATGTGTTCACAGCCAACATGTACCTAGCAGAAGATCGTATCCTCTGCTGGGAGTTAGTTGCCAAGAGGGAAGAGCGCTGGGTCTTGAAGTTCGTGAAGAGTGCTGTTGGTGAAACTGACGTCCCAGGTAAGCCATGAAGACGAGCGATAGATGTAATTCCGCTAACAGCCCTTGCTAGACTCAATTCCCGAGTTCATCTCACAGAGAAGACGTTGGTTGAACGGTGCCTTCTTCGCGGCCGTGTACTCTATCGTCAATGCCAAGCAACTCTGGAAAACGGACCACTCACTACCTCGGAAGATTCTCCTTCAAATTGAGGGTGCTTACCAATTCATGCAATTGATCTTCACGTACTTTGGCTTGGTAGGTTTTGGATACCCAGCAATCCAAGAAAACCTCGCTGACATTCCACTCACTACTAGGCAAACTTCTACCTGGTATTCTACTTTATCGCTGGCTCACTTACCGACGATAAAATTGATCCGTTTGGTCACCATATCGGCAAATACATATTCGTGATCCTGAGATACGCCTGTATTCTGGTGATGTGTCTGCAGTTCATCATTTCAATGGGTAATCGACCGCAAGGGTGAGTAGTCCATACAAGGCAGTCCCATGAACAGCTGGCTAACCCCAACCCTTGCAGTGCCAAAAAGCTATACCTGTCCGGCATCATCGTGTATTCGATCATCATGTTCTACACGATCTTCTGCACCATGTATCTTGTGGTGATCGAAATTCTAGCACGAACGGGCGCCGATACATCCCTGGAAGTGAGCGACGGCCTATTCGTCAACATCGTCATGTCCCTCCTCTCAACAGTGGGCTTATACTTCTACGCCTCCTTCCTCTACCTCGATCCCTGGCATATGTTCACCTCCTCAGCAGCCTACTTCATCATGTTACCCAGCTACATTTGCACCCTCCAGGTCTACGCCTTCTGCAACACGCACGACGTCTCTTGGGGAACAAAAGGTGACAACGTCCTGAACATGGACCTGGGAGCCGCGCGTGTCGTCAACGGCACAACCGTGCAAATCGAAATGCCCTCCGAACAACTCGACATCGACAGCGGCTACGACGCTGCGCTCCGCAACCTCCGCGACCGCGTCGAAGTCCCCGAAACCCCCATCACCGAGAGCCAAATGCAAGAAGACTACTACCGCGCCGTCCGTACATACATGGTCTCCATCTGGATGGTAGCGAACGTCATTCTGGCCATGGCCATCTCAGAAGTCTATGGTCCGGATGCGGGCGGTACGAACATCTACCTCGCTATCATTCTGTGGTCCGTGGTGGTGTTGGCCCTTATTCGTGTCATTGGTTCCACGACGTATGCGATCTTGCTTGTCGTGCAGAAGATCGTCGAGGGCAAGACCAAGTTCGATGCGGGCAACTTGGCGAATATGAGCCATGTTTCTGGCTCGAGTGGTGGGAGGAGTAGTACTGCGCTTAAGTACGGTGGTGGGGTTAGTTTCAAGGATAAGTTTGCTGAGGCGAAGTGGTCCGCTAAGAGGGTGGCGGGTAAGGCTATGTTTTGGAGGAAGTGATTGATCTAAATTCTATCGGTATACCCCCTCTATGTCTATCTCATTGTCCAGGTCTGGCTCCCTTGCTGGTGGTGAGATAGGTTTGTTTGGAGTTCTTTTGTCTATGTTTCCTTTTCCTTCACCTTTTCTTACGACCTTATTTATGATGTATGATTGGGATTTTTCATGTATGTATTTATGCTTCGTTATGATTGATGGATATAATGGATTGTAAATGATCGGTCAATTTATGAATGATATCGGATTTCACTTCAATTTTTCTCCCACCCAGCTATGCTTAACTCAGAGCATAGATCTAGTAGAGGTCTGCTCTGCTCCCTTTAGAATACCATCAACCAACGCACCAGCAGCCAGAGTTTCCTCATCCTTGAAATGCTTTCCGACCAACTGCAACGCAATGGGCGCACCTTCGTACCGTTCCGGACCGGTATACTTGCTCCATTCGCGCTGATCAACTTCGTCTCGAGGCTTATATGACTTATGCTCGCTGGTCAACTGATCCAGCTGCGGATTCACGCTCAGACCAGATGGGAATACTACGGCCGGCTGGTCCAAGATATTCCAGACAGCCGTGTAGTTCCAGTAGTGGGATTCGCCGAGAACGGAGGCAACGCCCGCGTATGCGGGACAGAGGATGAAGTCCACGCCTCTGGATTTCATCAAGGCGTGGTATTCGTCTCGGTATACGTCGCGCTGGACATTTAGTTCCCAGGATTCGGCCATGGTGAGGGGGGTAGGACTGCTGTAGTTGAAGGCCCAGGCTGTCAGAGGAAGAATGGGTTCGCCCGTTTGGGCGATGAGTTTGCGCTGGCTGAGGGCTCCGTCGGGGAAGTACATGGCGGACTAGGGTTTTGTGATCAGTATGGGTATGATTAAAGTGGTATTGCTTGATTGGCGTGACGTACGATGATGTCCCAGCCGTGCTTGTGCTTGTATGGTTCCCAGTCGATGACCTTGATGCCCGCTGCTTGGAGCTTGGCTTTGGCGTGTTTGAGGGCCCGGGTTACGGGGGGATGGGGGCGGACGACTCTGGTTTTTGATTTGTTAGTTGCCGTATGCATTGGTGTGACGATATTGGCTTACCCGTCATCCCACATGATGGCTACAGTCATGCCTTTGGTAGGCTTGGCCCTCTTCCATGGGACCGGAGCCAAGGACGTCTCGATATTCCAGGGCTCTTGGTCGATGATGGCCTGCTGGAAGAGGTCCATGTCTTCCACGCTCTGGCTAGCAAGAGGCCCGATTACGCCGCGAATGGATTCGTGACCGTCCTTGGGTGCCTTTGCACCTGACATTGGGTTGCGAAGGGCTGTTGGGCGGAACCCATAGGAGCCACAGAATGCAGCGGGGCATCGGATTGAGCCTCCAATGTCTGTGCCGATACCTAGGGGAGCGCATTTGAAGCCGGTCGAAGCGCCTTCACCACCTGAGGAACCCCCAGCACTGAGCGTGCGGTTGTAAGGGTTTAGCGTCTTTCCGGTGAGGTTATTGCTGCAGCAGAGGTGCTTCATGTATTTATTAGCTACGCAAGGTCATTGCCTGCAAGGTGGGCATATAGACATACCATGAGAGATTGCGGCTGGTTGGTTCGTACATGGAAGACGGCGCCAGCCTTTTCGAGACATTGTAGTATGAGGGCGTCTTCTGTAGCAACATCGTCCACCCTAGTGTTATCAGTTTCTGGCTTTGATACTGTATTTGAAGAAGAACGGGGCCATACCAGGCCACATAGCCGGCATTACATGTGAGGCCCTTGACCCCAACATGCTCCTTGACGCTTATCGGGACACCATGCTGTGAGTTATTAGTCTATAGGTTGTACGGCACCGCTGATAAGGAAGTCCCACCAAAGGCCCAACTAGCTTTCCGGTTCGCCTGTAATACTCATCTAATTCCTTGGCTCGCCCAATTGCTCGGTCGGTTAGGAACTCTGTGGCGAAGTTAAGCTGATAACAAGGATTAGTTGCACCGAAACCTGGACCAGATATAGTTAAGCATTACCAGTTGATGGCCCAATACGGATCGCTTGATGAAAGCCACGACCACCTCCTCTGCCGTGAGCTTTCCAGCCCCCATGTTCTGCACTAGGGTAGCGGCAGACATGTCGGTTATACTGAGCTCTCTCGCCGAGAGAAGGCCGCTTTTGCGGGGAAAGTCCTCCACATTCTTCAGGTCGGCCGAGGGTAGCTTATGTGCGGGGAGTAGCCATTGTTTGGGGATCGATTGTTGGAGAATGTCCTTGGCCTTTTGGGCCTGGGTTTCCCATGAGAGTGACATAGTGTAAGATGCTCACGAGCGCTAGGGTCGAGTTTGAGTGATGGAGGAAATGTGACTGGCATGGGAAAGGTGGGGAGTGCGCACAGTTTAAAACCGGCAGTCAAGAGCACTAATGGTTTCCATGACAAGGCAGATGAGGAGTCGGACACTGTCTACATCTCGGAATCGGAATGCAGACCAATAATGATCTACAGAAGGCCTTTGTTGAAGCACCCTATATGCATCTAGCTGCGCTGCAGGTCTTAGCTCCAGGGAGGAGATAACGCCTCGGGTGGAGATCCTCTTATCTTTCTGGTCGCGAGTACTTGCCTATCAAGAGGCCTGGCGCTTATCGGCAATTGGCAAAGTCCGCTGAATGGCGTTCCTGTGCCGACATCGCCTAGTTATTTTCGGTGTCACTATTTAACCATTGGCCGTCAGTACCGGAGGGGATCTGCTAGGAATGGCGGATGGAACCAGAAGCACAGCCGAAGGTTTGAACGACCAGGCGGAATATGTTCCGCGTACTAGTTGGGGGCGAGAGATTGACTTCACATCTCATCAATGGTACTCGGGCCAGCAACGAAGGAGATTGACAATCATTCGAGTGAATAAGAATGAAGCGGAGGAAGAGAAGCATTCAAAGATGGTATATTTTCTAAAACTAAGTAGTAGCAGCCAGGTCAGATGACCCAGCCTCCTCGTGACATTCGCCATCTTCATCTTCATCTTCATTTCCCCTTCGCCTTTTTTTTTTTTGTTTGTACCTCTTACTTCAAGTTCTTTTGTTTCCCTCTCCTTATTTCCATTTTCCGTTTGTCCTCTATCCACAGCAAGTCAATTCTTCACATAATGTCCCGCATATCACCTGACACTTCTCAGACATTTCAGTCTGTGAACTCAGTTCTGTTTCCACTGCCGGCCTTCCCAGAGCAATCGCCTCCGGGTGGGCCATCTCCGGCTGAATCGTGGTAGAATGGATCCCGTATGCGTGGAAACATTCGTTGATGGTCTTACTCAACTTAAGGAAACTCGGTACTGAGCAATCGGACACCATTACATGAACCGATGCGAGCGCCTTGTGCTGGTTTAGGCGCCAGATATGTAGCTCGTGGACCGATAGAACACCGGGAATCTGCGAAGCGTCCAATGGTGAGAATTAGTCGATGACTGGAGCTTGTATGTGGCCTACCTTCTCTAGATCATGCTTCACATCCTCAAGGTCGACTCCATTAGGCGCGCTTTCCAGCAGGATGATTCCACATCGCCGCACTATCACAGGGTTCAGCATCCATGGATCAAACAACATGAAAGGACATACCCAGTGGAACAGAAGACAGCATTATCATAATGGATATTCCCATGCTTGTGCCAGGATCCGCATAGTATCTTCCTCCATAGTGAGCGAGCCATATGACCAAGGCCGCTGCCATCACTCCAAGGTTATTGGCCGCATCGCCTATAACATGGATCAAGACCCCCAGCATCCCTAGGTCATGTCCGTGAGAGGCTGCATGAGCCCCATTTGAAAGGTGTTTGTGATCATTGTGCTACAGGGTAGGAGGTCAGCCAGCTGAAAGCTCTATAGTCTGCTCAAGTACTAACGTTAGGACTTCCTGGTCGTTCCGGTCCTGTAATGTCATCTGTCGTCGACACGGGAAGCTCTTCGAGAGCCCCTGAACTAGGTTCATGGCCGTGATCATGATGGTGATGCTCTGTAAAACAGTTACCGGGGCCGCCTCACTAGCTGTTGAAGCCGGGATTACCGTGGAGAAACGTGGCGCTGATAAGGTTCAGGGTCAGTCCGATGGCTCCCATTATGAACATGAGCTTAGGATTCTCAACACCTGTTGCACATTAACTGGATGAAGTTGACAGTCAAATGGAGTACCAACGCTGAAGCGTGATGAATCGCTCAATGGACTGTAGGAAAATACTGATCCCGAGCGCGAAGAGTAGGACCCCATTGAAGAAGGCACCCAGCAACTGGGCTCGTTGCCAACCGAAGGATAGGGCTTTCGGCGATTCATCTGCTTCTGAGACCTGGAGCTTGATCTCAGTATCTGTTGCAACGTTTCGAACAGTGTCGTGGGCTACCTTGAGAGCAACGAGCGCGACAACAAACCCGACCAGGTCGTTCAGCTAGATTTATCAGTGACTACTCTGCAACACTGGGCCGCACATACATAATGGAAAGCATCGGCCACCAAAGCAATGGAATGCGTGTAAAAGCCAACTACCGTACGGTCGCATTAGCCAGGCTTGCAATGAAGTGGGCTGCAGATGTATAGAGGGGAGACTACCTGAAATCTCAGCCACAAAGAATGCTGAGGAGATGACAACCACCACCGTCAACCGCGTGGCGCGTGATATTTTGAGCACCATGATACTGAAATCCCTCAGATGAGGATGAGACAAAGCCCAGACGACCTTTTGCTGTAGAAGTACTCGAGGCCAGGTGTGAGGCTACCGGCTTATTACCCCTTACATTAGAATCGGGCCGGGTTGGAATGCGAAGAACTTTCCAAACCAGGCTGACGGAGCATATTGCGAGGACCCCTTCTGGTGTGCCTATACCAAGGCAAACATGTTGCTCTCAAGTCTCTACACTGCTGGTGAGTTGTTGTGCCATCCAGCTCCGACATGCTCACACCATTACCTATGTCACACATCATATGCAGCTGACGTACCAACCTCGGTATTTTAATGCATATTGGTGACACTTCTATTGTAGACGCTGCTTAGGTTGATTTTTCTCTGCCGGCTTCTCATCTATTAGGGATTTGCTACAAACCATGCTGTGACAAACATGAAGGATTGCTATTCATTATCTCATGACTGAATATTTACTAACACTTCACTATGCAGCGATCTCATCCACCAAGCCATCTAGTTCCCTCTGCCAGTTCCTGTGCCTCGAAATTTGCCAAATGAACTGGTCGACGAATCCCTTGCTCTCGCGACTAATATTGGACGATACTTGCAGCAGCTCCGCGGGTGCACCATGGGCAGTCACCACTCCGTAGCTTTCTTTCACTTGACCATTCGAGGCATATTTGACCGCGTCTAGGTTGATTTGCTTCCGGATAAAGTCCACCGCTTCGTTGACACCAGCAATAGGCTTCAAGTGCGCAAAGGACTCGGAAATCCAGTGCTTAGCGATGCCGTTCTTCGCCAGCACACTAACGTGCTTTCCGCCGGGGACAAAAGTCGCGTCAAAGAGCGTGGAACGCATTCCTGGGAAATGATGGTCGGGGATCACCTTCTCTCCTGATTCGGAGGTGACACCCTGGCGCTGGGATCCAATGGTGAATACAAATGCATTCTGCTTCTGCAACGCACTCTTCATGTCCCTGTATGAGTTGAGGTCGAAGCCATCCGCGATCAGGATGGCAACTCGGCGGGTAGCAATTTGTGCGCTGTCAGAAAGGTAGTCGAATTGGCTCAAGCCCTTCGACGTTTTTCCGTCGTTCTCCTTTGGTGCCTTGGTCGGCGTGTTGCCTCCAACATTCTTCGCAACCGTCTTCGCCAGCTGGAGGTCAACGACAGCCAGTCGTTCTGAGAGGCGCTTATACACGATCTCCTCGTCGCAATGATCCAATTCGAAGGAGAATGCCTTGGAGACGTGAAGCTTTTCTATGGGGCTGAGGGAGTTGTAGAACAGTTGGGCCTGGTTGAAATGCTCGCTAAATTTGTCTGACAGTGCACGCGCTTTCACACCCCGCTGCTTTTCAGGGTAGGTCGCAAATCCTCCATGGGCCGGAGAGGTTGGGGGATTCGCATCGAACCTGTTCGGCCAATAGTTCACTTTGCCCTTTGTGATGCGGTGTCTCATTTGACCATCCCGGTTGACCAGACTCATATACGGACACACGGGACGGTTAATTGGCAGTTCTTGCCAGTTAGGGCCCAAGCGAGAGATCTGTGTATCGAAGTAGGAGAAATTGCGGCCCACGAGAAGGGGATCGTCCGAGAAGTCAATACCGGGCACAATATGACTTGTGCAGAAAGCCACTTGCTCGGTTTGGGGGAAGTACTCGTCAACGTTGCGATTCAGCTCCAATTGTCCAATGTACTGGATTGGCACAAGCTCCTCCGGCCAGATCTTGGTTGCATCCTGGATATCGAACTCAAAGTCATCCTTCTTCTCTTCTGGAATCACCTGAATGCCGAACTTCCACCTGGGGTATTGGCCTGCCTCAATGGCATCCATCAGATCCTTCCGATGGAAGTCAGGATCTTGACCTGCAATCTTCAGCGACTTCGTCCCAAACGAGGGAATGAACACCGAGCTCCGGGGTGAAATGGAACTTGACAAAGTGCCGCTGTCCCTTGGCATTCACAAGGCAGTAGGTATTGACACCGAAGCCTTGCATCATACGGTACGAACGAGGGATAGCACGATCCGACATAACCTAGCAACTCAATTAGCCAGTGACCCAGGGAATAAAATAAACACAGCAAACTCACCCACTGCTGCATATGAGTAGTCTCCGAATGCATGTATTGGAAATCCCAAAAGTTATTATGAGCACTCTGTCCCTGAGGAATCTCATTATGAGGCTCCGGCTTCACCGAATGAATAACATCAGGGAACTTGATAGCATCCTGAATAAAGAAAACAGGAATATTATTCCCAACAATATCCCAGTTGCCTTCCGCAGTGTACATCTTCACCGCGAAGCCACGAACATCACGCACAGTATCCGCACTCCCACGACTACCCTGAACAGTAGAAAAGCGAACAAAGACGGGAGTTTCGCGCTCTGTGTCAGTCAAGACACCCGCAGAGGAAAGTTCCGGAATAGCCTGATGAAGCTTGAAGGTTCCGAAGGCTCCAGCGCCACGGGCATGCACGACTCGTTCGGGAATCCGTTCGTGGTCGAAGCGCATAATCTGCACCACCGATCAATACTCTAGCAGAGGGGACTACTATAGAAAGGAAGTGTATCATACCTTCTCCCTCGCGATCGGATCCTCCAGTAGCGAGGGACCATTATGCTGCGCATCGACAACGCGAAGCCAATGGTCCGGATCCGATATCTTAATTCCATAGTCTGTGGTCATGGGTTGAACGCCGGACAGCTGAACTGTATCTCGGGCGAGATCATCATGTTTGGTGGCCATATTGAACTGTTCGCTAGCCATTATGAAAGCATGTATTCCAATTTGTCACACTCTGGTACAGATACACTGATGATGAGAAGAAGTAGTAGTACTCCCAAAGAAGATGTCTGCGAGTACTACTACTATCTATTTATCTATATACTCATCCCGACCAACCCGGCCAGAAACCCAATGGCAGCTCTCTATTTCTAAGCACTGGTAATTCTAGAGTCGATCAGGGGACAGTCTGGACCGGAACCATGATGCAACGCTGTTCTTGCAGAGTCGATGGCCCACTGAAATTGGTCAGAACTGCTGAATCCATGATGTCAGTGATGTGCACTAAAGTCCCACTCCCTGCACTACTACAGGGTCCATCGCAGAGGAGGGGGTTGCTTTGGCTATAATCCTTGGCCAATGGCAATGTATCATTGAGAGCATGACAGGAGCCCTGGGGGTGGAGAACTCAAATGATGTCCCTGAAAGACTTGTTTGTTGAGTTCCTGGTAGATCGCGGTGGTTGGGTGTGGATGACGTCATGTTATAGCTTCTCTCAATCACTTATTGTTAGTGAAGACTACAACACAACCTATGCTGTGGAAATGATAAGAAATGCAAACTGTGTATTCATGTTCATCAATTCAAGCTCTATGGTCTGTAAATGCAACTGTAGCTGTAACTGAAAGTGTATACACGTATGTATCAAAGTATATATGCAACGAAGAACCCAGCAACCATCTACAAACAATACTCTAATAAAGCAAAGAAGAGGATGAAAGAGGATCACATATTATCCTCCGACCAACGACTCCTCGCCTTCACATACGCATCATGTTCACTCTTCCCATGATCCGCATCCATCCCGACCCCCAACCCACGCTCCACCCACATCTTACTCCCCATTTCCGAAAGACGCGACAATGCTCTCGCGAACGCGAACCGCTCCTCATCACCACTGAAAATCGACGTGGTTTTGAGCGCTTGCATCGACAATCCCAGATCGTCCATCATCATGCGCATCGCGTCGGAGAGATCAGCGCCGTTGTCGTCGCTGCCGTCCTTGAGGGTGCCTTTGACGTCGTCGGCCGAGAGGAAGAGGTTGGTGAGGGGGACTTCGGTGGTGAGGACGAGTTTTGCCTGTGATTCATACTGTTAGTCCATGGGATTGGGTGATTGTTGGGGTCAACGTTGTGGGGTAAACGCACCCTACTCTCATACACAGCATCAATGAAAGTAATGAACCGTCTAGCCAGATCTCTCTGGGTGAGATTCATGCCCGGCACATCGGTGATGATGAATGCCTCGTAATTCCGGACGAGTTCCAGGTAATCCGCTGCGCCGGTGGCGCTGCCGATGAGCTGCTGGAAGCTGAATTTGGCGGCTTTGCCGCTGGCCAGGGGCACATGGATCTTGCGACCCCAGACTTCTTGGGTGGCGGGGTGCGGGGGGTCGTTGATGGGGTCGCCCAGGAAATCGAACCATTTCTGGGCGTGTTGGTCGGCGTCTGGGCCGAGTGGGTGGTGGTAGACGGCTGCTGGGGGACGGGGAATCTTGCGATAGTCGGTGGGGGAGTTGAGGTTGATGACGTCGAGGGCGGTCTTGAGGAGGTTGATGCAGGGAATGAAGGATTCGCGTTGGATGCCGTTCTTGTAGAGGTCGTCGGGGTGGCGGTTGGAGGTGGTGACGAGGAGGACGCCGTGGGACATGAGGGATTCGAGGAGTCTGTTGAACTGTTTGTGAGAAGTGGTTGTAGTGTGGGTGAGGCTGGTTTAGTGAACTACCTTCGGAGAATCATCGCATCTGCAACATCTGTGCACTGGAACTCATCGAAACACAGCACACTCGAGCCCTCTGCGATGGAAGCCGCCACGAGAGGCAGCGCATCGAAGTCGTTGCCGTATTTCATCTTGACGACATGCATGCGCTTGTGCACATCCTGCATGAAGTTGTGGAAGTGGATGCGCGTTTTGGTCTTGATGTTGGGTGGGAGAGTCTCATAGAACAGGTCCATGAGCATGGTCTTGCCGCATCCTACGTCGCCGTACATGTATAGTCCCTTGGGGAGGGCTTCGGGGATCGTGAGTTCCTGCTTCGCGTTGCGTCCGAACAGCGAGCCGAAGAACGACTTGGGCTTGGGGTCGAGGGATTCGACGCTTGGCTGGACGACCGGCGGGGGGTTGTAGGATCTCAGTCGTTCGTACAGGTCCTGCAGTTGCTCAATGATCTCTGTTCATAGCAATTGAAGCATGTCAGCCTCTGTAATTCGAAATAGGCCATCAATTCAGTCCCTCCCCTCTATGGGAAGGACTTCCGCTCTACCGGAGACAACCAATTCACATGGGAATACAACGTACGTCTCTGATACGGATCATCTCGCAAGCGACCCTGCTGTACACGAGCATCATACTCGGCCAACGGACCACCCTGCATCCCAGCTGCAGCGTCGGCCTCCACAGCCTTCCCCTCGGCGGCTGTCGCAAAGCGGCGCGCATACTGGCCCTGCGACAACCGCACATCCACAGTATCGCAGACCGGTACCCGGTGAGCTGTCACCGAGGGGCGATAGCGAGAGTTGTTCGCGCCATGAGCACCCCGTCTATACTCCCTGGCGCCAGGCCGGCGAGTGCCCCGAGGAACGGCACGCAAAAGAGGGCCCCGAGCCCTCAGTGCGCCGGGCAAATAGTCCGCGCAGAGCTTCGCTGAAGATCCGCTCATGGACGTTGTGTATGACGGAAACAGTCTAGGAAAGTTGGTGTATCTGATCAAATGTGCGTGCGTTGCGACAAAGTCGAGGAGACTTAAACCCGAGGTTGTTCGGTCGGCAAATACTCGGCGAATGAGACGGTCAAGTGCGGCGCCCACGCGGTCAAGAAGCGGGGACAGGCAAGTGGACACTAGAGAGGGCAACAGGAATGCAAGCGCTGACAAGTATATACAGATCGACTCGAGTCAACGGGTCGAATGCAAGTATGCAGGTGAGAAAGAAAGTCCTCTGAAGAGCCCCGATATTGACCGGAAGAGCAGAACTCCGCGGCGAAAAGGAACCGAAGCAACGAGAAAAGGCACTCCGATGCCAGTCATGTGACTCGGAGGGCGGCAACTGATCGGCCCCCAGATCTAGAGCCGACAACGCCTTAATTGGCCGAGTGGATCATTTGTTTATTGCGCGACCGGTGGTTGGTTCCTACCATGTGTTCTACTGGGCCCCAAAAAGCAGATGGTAAACGGTAGGTAGGTGTCGTAGCCTACGGCTAGAATATATATGCAAGAGAAGACTTATGTACAAAAGACAATAGCACATCACAGTAACAGGGTATGGAGGGTAAACAATCAGCCATGGCCCACACAACAGAATAGTGCAGCTTCAAAAACAAAGAAAGGGTACATGATGGCGTAAACGTTTCAGACATGTCATTCTTGTCAAAGCATCAACCTCGTGATTCAATAACAACCGCTCAGAGGCTGATGACCAGAGACAACAGGAAAAATAACCATAACACCGGGACACCCGATGCACCTCAACAAACGGGTGCAATATTCGGACAACAAAAGAAACTGATAAAAATGACAGACAGATCTATCGGGATATAGACGGAGGGTGATAAAATAACGCTTCTATGCAAGTCCAACATATAGTGTGAGCTTGGAGTTCCGCTGGATCGCCGTGTCCAGGTCGCTGTCCGTGGCCAGATCAACGTACGTCCCGGACGGTTCGTCCTTGTACTGAACCATGATCTCATCCTGAATCTTCAGGCGGTCCATGAGCTTCTCCTTGAGCTGTTGAAGGCTGATGTCGTTCGGGACCCGAATTGCAATGAGGTCGTCCTGGAAGAAAACCTTAACTTTCATGGCACCGCCACTCGACGTCGACACCTGTGTTAACGAGCTAGGTTGACGGTTCATCGGGGGTGGCCCGCCATTGGAGAGTGACAGGGAGGGTTGACCGCGCTGGTGTGAGTTGCGCTCTGTGTGAACAGCGATCGGTGCCTGCGATGACTGGCGCGACACACTCCGCGACGGCTCATTGGCCGAAGAATGATGCGAGCCACCGGAGAACCGCGTCTCTTCGCCAAATGCGTTCGGGTCGATTTCAAAGTCACCAGCGCGAGGGGCGAATAACTGACGGACCAGTTGGCAGCGAGAGATATGAGGCGGCATAGCCAAGAGTTTCTTGATGTATTCATCCAGATTCTGTCGGCGGCCGTTGGAGATGGCGTCCGTGACATGGGTGACTGGTCCGGGCATATACGGCAGAGTGCGCGGCTTTCCACGGTTACCCGCTTCCTCCTCAAATTGAGTCAAAAGTGCGATTTGGAAATCGTAGAAGTCGTGGTAGTAGCGGGCCAATTCCCAGCAGCGACCGTCCTCCATTTTGGCCTCGATAATGTACCAGTATTTGTCGTTGTCGAAGCAGTACCGGGGAATAGATGCCGCGATGGGCGCCATCAATGACTGATGATAACTTTGCTGCGACTGGTGCGAAACTTGTTGCACAAGAGAACCTTTACTGGCATTGCGAGTGTGGTAGCCCTATCGCACGGAAGGTTAGGGCGACGGTCCTCAAAAGAGTCGCGGATGTGGGGAAAAGAGAAAACATTGATGACTTACCTGAGACTGGCCATTCTGACTCATTTGACTCTGACGCCCGATAGACATCTTGTCCATGCTCGACGTGACGGACTGCATTGACGAGCCACCAGCGGAGTCGATCTTGCCGAGCGTGATGCTGCTGTTCTTGTATTCGGCCGTCATCTTCTTCCATTCTTCCACCTTCGGCACGCCGGCACGCCTCACAGCTTCGAGGGGATCGGTGACCGCTTGACCTGTCTGCATATCGCGAAGTTCGAGGAAGGAGACGGGAATGAGACCTGGGCCACCCAGGCGACCGATAGGTTTGGCGACAAACCATTCCTGGTTCGACTGGGCGATAACAATAATGGCCTCGCCAGCTTTGGCGTCTAGTTCGTCCGGTCGCTCGGCCTGGAAGTCATACTGAACGATGCCATAGACCATGGCGCTCGAACCCTTCCCCAACTGCGACATCCTGGGTTGAAAACTATTGCGGGAGGAATTGCTGATGAAGTCTGTACCTGGGAAGGCAGCTCGATCGGAGAAGCCTGAGTCGTGCGGCTCTTTCTTCTTATGATGATCCACCGATCCGGCGCTGTGTCTCTCGTTTTTGCCAATCACTTCGAAGAAGGACACTGGAACCAACCCCCTCGCACTAGGGATGAGCGGATTGCACGCTTCGTACCAGTCCAAATCGTCCTCCCTGCTGATAACGTGAAAGAAGTCTCCCTTGCTGAAGGCGAGTTCCTGCGAGTTCCCGGGTTCCGGTTGGTAATCGTAGAGCGCTTTGATAACCTACGCGCAGCACAGGGATGTGGTCAACAACGGGTTGCCAAGGACGGGCTGCTCGACTAATGTCGGCGAACGAGGACGAATAACACGCAGGGAAATCAATTACAACAGACAAACAACCCAAAAATGTTTCTTTTTAGGGATGCGACTATAGAAGAAAGGAGGGGTAAAGGCAGGGGGGAAAGAGGGGAGGGTGGGATCAACCAGGGATTTGAAAGGCAAATAAATGGAAAGAGTGAAAATAGAATTGAATATCGGGAGGGATGGGGAGAAATAAAATTAAATTGCAAAGAAAAAGAAGAATGCGAAATAGAAGAAGAAAAAGAAAATTGAAGGGGAGAATTAAAAGAAAGGAAAGGGTGTAACACACCTTCTTTGGCGGAAGGATGGCGATGGCGGACTTTGGAGTAATAGAAAGGTGGTGGTGACTATGGTGACTGAGATGGTGGTGGTGGTGGGGTTTGGGATCTTTCTCCCCTTTGAGAGAGCGTCGAATGGCCTAATTAATTGGCGGTGTTGGAGATTAGTCCAGAGCCGATGGATTGCGCGCGGCAATAATGATCATTCCAAGTCAAAAGAAAAAGGAAGGGCCACAAGTCATCAATCAAGGTGCTAATTTTTCGGGGAGGGCGCTCGGAACAAGCGACAATCGAGATAAACGAGGGGCGGGAAAACGAGGGGTTTTGCTTGCAGGGCGGTTTTGCCAGCTTGGAAACAACGTACCTTCATTATTAGTCTGCTAATTCTCCTTCCGGCGAAACTAAATAAATGAACGTCGGAATGAATGAATGAATAATACTCCCTAGGCAGGTTAACCTAGCCAGGCCGTGCCCACAGGTGGTCGGGAACGCCAGATCAGCCGCCGAGGCAAGGCAAGACGTAAGTACGGGGACGAGTAGGGTTTGGTTTGAGCGAGGCCTGCAGCAGACAAGATCTGATCATCCACTTTATGCCCGTAACAGCCACCCCGGTCCAGGCGTATCACTGTAAACTCGGAAGTTCTTGTCGGCGATGATGCGATGTGTTGGAATACAAAGAAATCGAAAGAATAAGAGAATGGGCGGCAATCCCGGGAAGCAGCTGATGAGAGACGAATGAGGCAAAAGGGGACAGGGTAAGTGAGGGAAAAAAAAAATAATAATAAAACAAAAACTTTAAATCTGAACAATGAAGGAGCGTTTTGAGGTGATACAGTAGAAAGGACAGTAACAGACCAAATAGCCTGGAGTTTTGATAGGAAGGGAGAGAGGGACAAGAGGGAGTGTCAATGGATGAAATAGAGCGGACGGCTGTCAGCGGCGATATGTTGTTATAGTAAAGAAAAATTAGAGTAACTCCCTAGGCGCTGGCTGCAAGTAACCCAGACACAAGTGACAGTGCAGTGGCCTCCTAATTTCTGCTTGTCTTTCTTTGCCTATTTTTCGCCCTCAAACGAGCAGGACTACCACGGACGAGCCTGGTATGGGGAGTTCTGAATTGCGACGACTGGGACAGAAAAAAGTGGCCCGCTTTCCTTTTGGTGTTTCCCCCCGCCCCTGAGGATGGATGGGAATAGGATGGGTGCGCTGGAGTGGTTCAGTGGGCGGACAATGACGAGGATCCACGCGTGACAGCTCGGCGGAAGGTTCCAGGGTTGCAGTGTTCTGGAAGGCCCTCCCCCCAGCAGAAGGGATTCAATATTTTGTTTCTTTGAGTTACCAGTTAGTGCGGCTGCTCCTTGCGACACACCCGGTTATGCAGTCGGACGATAGTAAGTTGGCGGGGATGATGACGATGATAATGGTGGTGGTGGGTTTGTGGTGGGAGAGGCAAGAAGTAAGTAGTCGGTCGAGTCAAAGGCACAGCGATAGGAGAATAATGGGCCGTCCTGACTCCTACCACCACTCTGCGGGAGCACTTGGTGGCTGTGACCCAGACGAAGGAGAGGCGAATAAGTGGATTGGGTGGATTAGTGGCCGGATGGCATGGACCGTCGTGGGGTGTGAAGGATGGAAGCCGTCGAGAAATCGAACTGCTGGTTCAACTGTGGCGGGTACTCCAGCACCCTCGTCCCGGTTGGTTGGTTCCCGACCTGCGAATTGGAGATGGGGGAGGTTAGTATGGCGTTGGTTTGTCCTCGTGNCAGTAATGTACTCGAGGAAGGATCAAAAAAAGGGTTATAAGCGGGTATAAAACCAGATGACTGGGATTAAAGGAGGTGGTGGTGAAAAAGTGAAAAAAGGCAGACCGCGATACTTCATCAGCCGGTCGAAGACACATACTTACCAACAAAGGAAGGCAATGTCCGATTCGTAGCAGATCGTGATAGACGTTGGACTGGCTGGCTGGGCTTTTTTTCTGCTCGGATCGCCTGGTCCTTGAAGCTAGTGCGTCTATTTCTTCACTTTCTTTTTTTAAACCTAGACTAACGGAGAAAATGACGACAAACTCAAACTGNTTGGTTGAAAGGTGATTGTGATTGTGATAGTGATGGGGGCAAATCATCCATGAGGAATATCGAAAGATGCAAGCCAAAAAAGAGCGGTTCAGAAGGAGACAAGATAATGATATTATAACCCAACGCTGCCTCAATACATACATCAATCAAAAGAATCCCAACAATCAAAACCCAAAATCTACAGAGCACACCCTATCCAGACACACAAACCCAAGATTTGAGAGATTTTTCATTTTCCTTTTCTCACGCACCAATGTCAAATCCTTCAGCTTCGACGCCAAAGCAGGTGGTTGTGTGCCTAAAAATCCTTTATTTAGTCGATTCACCAGTCAACCAGCAGACCGGGAGCTGCTCCCCGGCCGTCTGCATGGATGCACCGCGTAAGGTATGACGGTCAATGTCCACCCTGGTTGGCTGCTAAAGGACTAGAATACTTAGCTGAGACTCCTTAGTTCGTTTCTGCTTCCAGCCCTGCTGGTAGTGTCATCCCTGACTCTTTTCCCTCTTCTTGTTAGTTAGTTAGTTACTTGGTGATTTTATTCCTTGATTATGATTTTCCCCTTTCCCTTTAGTTTGTTAGACTACAGTGGGTTCATTCACTTCCCTTCCCTTTTCACTTTTCACCCCCCTGGGCGCAGTTGGGCAGCAGTGAACCCACCCCCCTTCCCATTCATTCCCTTTCCCCCCGTCGCATTAAACCGGGAGTGGTATAGAAGGCCGGCACCGTCCAGCTGGAAACCCGCCCGATCGATAGACGATAAGAATCAGCCGAACAGACTAGGAAACCAAACAACCATGGCTCGCATCCTGTGTGTGTGTCCCAGATTCTGCAGGAGACAGTACGTACTGTGTATGGGCCACAAGTGGCCCCGGTCCAGCGTACCTGAGTTGCGACGGACAAGGCAGGAATGGTCATTGGGCTGCTCGGGTGGGCAAGGAAAAAGGTGTGTGTGGGTTCCCACCGAGTTTGCCCATCCACACACAACCCACCACACACACCACACACCACACTCGTGTGGTCTGTGTGCGCTTCTTTTTAATTAACGGAGGGCTGCCAACTGCCGGGTGATTCAGGTGTCAACTAGTTTTAAATAACTAGTTTGTAGCCAATTCTATAGGTATCTAGACTTGTTCGATAATCGTAGCTGAGTTAAATTAACCCGGACGACTTCATAATCTTATTTTTACTAAGCGGAGAAGGGGGAAGTGGAAAAGAACGGACTGCTCCCAATTTTTAAATATTTCCTAATTTACCCTTCTCCTGGGCAATCACTTTCCTCGTTTCGATGTACCTCCGAGCCTGAAACTCTGCAAAGGAGCTCGGACGGGGAAAAAAGGTACTTAGGCTGGGAGCGCATCCATGGTTGCATGCCTGGATTTTACCCAATTCAGTCACCCAACGCAGCTCTACATTTGCTACACAATTTCCAATCTGTTTGGATCGGCAAAGGGTCTCTTCTCCATTTAGTCTACATGGAGGATTATCGGGTCTGAAAGAGAACCCCCCGGAGTTCCGCCTCAAGATGGATTAGTTTGGATCCCAACCATACTGTAACCCAAATGCTAGTTGGCAAGGCAGAGGTATATCTCCGCACTTTTTTCTTCCAATATGACCGAGGCTGCAAGGGACGACTGAGCTCTTTCGAAGCGCTAAGCCTTAGACTGGTAATTTTTCAAAGGTCAAGTACTTGACATGCAGCCTCAAATATTCATTTTCGTATCTACGAAAGCAGATATAGTATGCACGCGATCTTTCGCTCATTCAGTACCTACAGTAGTGGCATACCACGGCTGCAGAGTATGACATGGATTTTCCAAGGCAATTCCTCTACTACATAATCATCTAGATCCATAACCTAAGTCACTTCTTAAAACCTTGTACACCCTGCACCTCATCCATATTCACAGACACACCACCCTTGCAGGTAAGTAGTACTTGACCAGACAGCTCAGTCACAGCACCCAGTCAAATCCCTAACCGGGCTTAAACACAGACTGCCGTCCGCATAAGGTTATTGCTCGTATATGCGAGTATAAGAACAAGAAAAAGGAAAAGAAGGAAAACTAATGCGGAGATGGAAAAGCTGAAGTGAACGCCACACCACACCATAGAATTTCAGTCTATCCCTCTACCGTTAGTAGCCGACAGAGATAAAGCTAGCTACTTACTAACTAGATACAGTAGTCGAGGCACGCTGCAGCAGCTTAACTACACAAAGTACTTACTATAAAAGTTTCTAAGGAGATAGCTGGAACGAATAAGCGCACCACTGATCTATCATTCGCCACTCGGGATGTGGGTGGATAAAATTGATCGATCCATCGAGCCCACCAGCCAGCTAAGTGCAGTACAAAGTCCTTTGTAGCTGAGCTAAAACACACAAGCTGATTGTACTTTGTGCCACAAAGCCCATAAATGTGAATGTGAAGCACGATCCATAAATCATGATCCGATGTACTATTGTGTGTAGCGAATCAACCTGAACCCCGCACCACCATAATAAAAGTACTACTACTACTGCAACTCAACTATAATCACCATGTTTCAGTCAACAGTACTATAGACCATGAAACAGAGGATGAAACAAAACCTCATTCGACGAATCCAACAACACCTACCACCCTAAAACATATGCCGTCTTCAGCCTCGTGCAGATGCCCATATCGCCCTGCAAATCTGATATATCATTCTCCAGACGTCATATGCACCATCCCCTTCCCTTCCCCTTCTCCAATTTAAATCAAGTCAGGAAGTAGTAGTAAGTAACTAATATTACTAGTACCTCATACGTTATCCGGGGGACACTGACTCGCGATGATCGAAATCGATCTACAGCAGATCATCAACGGAAACGCAAGATGCGCCCACCGTCGGGTTTGATTTCCGTCTCGTCTTGTCTTGTCTTCCAAGCTTTGCCACCACCGGATAACGGTTATCTAGTACCTGAGGACCTACTTAGGTTGGAAAGTATATGCGTAGTCACGACTACAGTATAGTTAGTGTGGAAGTACTAGTGGGAAGAACCAAAGTACGGGTCTAGACCGGTGGGGAGGGGACTATTTAGGACGGGGGGGGAGATCGAGATCGACTCGTCAGATGAATTAAACTGTGTTCAGCATAGTGCCATGTATGTACGAGGGTAGACAGACAGATAGTAGATACATACATGGTTATTGTTGACTTATCACTGTAGATCTTCCTCTAACGGTCGACTTGCTTTATTCATGTAACTTGACCTCATCTCACTTGTTGATGAATTGCGGGGTACCTACTTCTCGACTCTTTGGCTTACCCCTCATTGTGGGTCCATTGTGGTGGTGTGTCCTGTTGGATACATAATGTTTGGATGGATGGATGTGTCTGATGTTTAAGGTAGTGGTATGATGCTATTGGATTGAGGGGAGGTTATAAGGTTAAGAGGGGATGAAATTCGCGCACTGGGTATGGTAATAATGAATGACGGTTTCTGATCCCCTACTGGATAGACAGACTATGTATCATTTGTCGCCGTGGTGGGTCCAATGGGCTGCTGCCCATACTTGATATGTTTTGAAATTCACAATGATCATTGTATTGAAGCTGCGCTACCGAAATATTATCAGACAGACGTTACACGCCTTCCCTTATACCCACTTCTGCCTTCCATCCATCGACTTTTTATTCTGTGTACAACCAATCCTCCTCAAGCCAAAATGGGTATAGATCGCAAGCGGTTAATGCAGGACGCCTCTAATGCCGGGGGCAAGGAAACAGAATGAACAGAACTCCAAGCGCCCTGAAGAAACGAACAGAATAGGGAAAGCTAGGGTGTGCTAGAAATATCCAGAATGGTGACGAGGGAGTCGGAAGGTGAAAGTGAAACCGCAGGTTGCAAAGAGGAAAGAAAAAGAAAGTAAGAGCGAGAGATACAGAACTTAGATCTGTCCCTTGATATCGACAATTCGGTGGGCCTCGGCCTTGGCTCCTTCGAAGAGTTGGCCGGCCCTGCCACCCGTAAGCAGTCTCACCACGCCATCTTTCTCTTGGAGGAGGTCCTCCGAAGTATGGTCCAAAATAAAGCGTGCGCTCTGCTCGTCGGACTCGAAACCAAGTTCTTCAGTAATAAAACGGATGTTTACATCGGGTTTGTATCTGTGTTGCCAAAGTTAGCGGGCGTCACATGTAAAGTCTGCACAAATACTTACGCTTTACAAATTGCTGCGAGTGCAGAAAGTCGCTCACGATCCACGAACATGTCCATTAGATAAGCACCCATATTCGGGGTATCGAGATAAAGCTGGAAGAAACGGTGATAGTTCCCAAGAGCAAGAGCGGAACGGACATCCAACGCATGTTTCACAGCAAGATCCCGTTTGTCTGCTGCAGTTAGATCGGCCAAGGCATCGTTCATGGCCGTCCAGTTGCGGGTATGGATGAAGTAGAGGATACGATAGGCCTTGAACTCCGTAGGATGACCGCCAAGTTGCTGTGCGTACAACGCTCGTAGCTGAGTCTGGCACTGATTATACTCACCAAGGTCACCTTTCTCTAGGGCAATCCGGGCATGGATTTCATAGACGCTGACAGTGAATTCGTTCCTGATATGCTGCACAGTCAAATCTTGACGGAGGGATTTGAACTGGTCACAAATATAGCCATAGTTGTTGTCCTTTTTCCATTTCTTCTTCAGTAGGTCTAATGTTTTCATCAAGACCGGCAAGGGACGGACGGTATCCGGATTCGGTGCAGAAGTCAGGCGGAAGTAATTCTTCTCGAGCTCCTGGCACCTTCCGACAACAGGGCCTTGGTTTGCATTGGGGGTCGGTGATGCACCGCGGGAAGAGGGTGAAGATCCATGTCGTCCTTGTGCGTCCTCGAAACGTTTCCTCCGCATCTCCAGATTAGCTTTTGACTTACTTGGGTTCTTACTGTCCATCTTCTGCCGCTTGTCTGTGGAAGGATAAGTGACTCGGTCTTCAAAGGCATTCTGGTTGTTAGTTTGTCTCCATGGTGGACAGCTGCTCGCGTCTCCGTGGTACTCCACCGATTTCCTCTTTTTCGATAGGTCGACCAACGGGGTGCTCGACTTCTTCGGCGAAAGTGTCCCAAATGCGGCCCAAGTCGAGACACCTGGGCTGGCGAGCACCATGTTGCGGTCATTTTGAACCATGACCTGCGGCAGAGGCAGGGTTTCCCAGTCGATCTTGTCAAGCATGTTACCCTCTGCTGCCTCTGTGATGACCGACTTGAGTTTCGCCTCCATCTCACTCCGTTCGACCCCGGAAAGGCGGTTTTCGGGCGCAAAGCTGCGTTGCACATATTTGCGGACAGCTTCTGGGAATTCTACTCGTTTGCGGGTGGCGGCATCGGTAGACGTCGTCGGGGTTGTAGGTGAAGGACCGGGGTTCGTGGCTTTTGTGGGCGCGATACTACGGCGTGCTTGCACTGGGATATAAGCTGGGGCCACTACTGCCACGTTAGTCAAGTCTGAACAAAGATCACGGGCGGGAACAGAAGCATACCATGGCCAGAGTGAATTGAGGTGGTAGCGGTGGCTGAAGCCGCAACACGCCACGGTGGGATGCCGGAGCTCATGATGAAGAAATGATGATCTAAATTAAGGACCAGTGCAAAAAGAGACAATAAAGAAATGCGAAGAGTGATGATAATCAGAAAAGAGAGGTATTAACTACGGATGATTTGTTCCGGGCCAGTCAGAACATATTCCTACACCAACAGAGCCGAGTAGGTATCACTGAATGTAAGAGAAAAGTGAGATCGGTCGGTCTGTTTCTAAGGGGAGAAGAGACAAGATGATATGCAAGTATCCACAGGGGTTCGTTCTCCAGGCTTTGGGGTGAGAGAATAACGATAATGAGCGGAGAGAGAGGGAGACTCGCTTAGTTGACGCTTGGATAACTTGACCTGTCTCGGTGGCGGAGATTTCGTCTTGGCATGGAGACAGCCTACCGCCTACTATATATGGAAATATTACATCAGCACGTCGATCTGACTGATAACGAGCAATACAACCAGCGCCAAGGCATCTCGCTTTCGTATACTCTGCCCCTCTTCACCCTCTCCATCGTGAAGAGATGCTGCTTGGTTTTACTAGATGTTCTTCAAGCCTTTGGATCTGACAACTGCGCTTCGCCCCTCGCTGTTGCCCGACGAGACCTTACTCTTTGTCCAGGATGCGGTGGGGTTGTACGAAGGGTGAGTAGCCGGTTATTACTTCACCTGCTGCATCGGTGGTCTCGCCATGCTTGGGTCCATTACACTTTTTCTGGAACCGAGCCTTAGTGACTCAGTATATATCTTCTCAATTGCTGACTTCTAATGTCTCTTGCATGATCAGAAAATATAAAATCCCCAATTATCAGAATGGCCATGCCTATCTGACCTCGCATCGTGTCTGTTATGTAGCAGTTGATGAGCCACGGAAATACTCAGTTGGCATTGACCTCAAGGATATCGATAGAACAGAGTATCAAGTACGTTCTAGTCTAATCATGCAAATCGACCTGAAATCTAAATTATTTCAGGCAAGCTTCTGGAAGTCCTCTCCAAAGATCACGGTGTATCCTAAGCCACTGAAGAACATCGACCGGTCGAAAAACGCTGGCGCAAGTCCCTCTCGATCGCAGTCACCTCTGACCCCAAAGTCTGTGCACCATCCTAGCGCGGGGCTTCCTCCACCTGTGAATGCGACATGGGTATGTCCTATATGCAGCTTCTCCAATCCCGTGCCTTCCAATTTCGACCCGTCCACCGCTACCGCGTCCACGCCTATACCTCCTTGTCTAGCATGTGGTATCAAACCCCCTTTCGCAACGATCCTCAAGGCTGCAATTACTGCTGCAACCAGTCGTGAGAGCTCTGTGGCGACACCACCCACCTCTCAACCCGGGCACGAATCCTCGCTTGAGAGTAATAACTCCAAGAACCTAATAGCTCCACAAAATGGCGCCCAAGTGTCATGTCCTCGCTGCACATTTGTCAACCACCCGTCACTCATTGAATGTGAGATGTGTGGAGCTTCCTTGGTCTCTTCAAATATTCTTAAGGTCACCAATGGCGATCACTACCGTGCAGAATCCCCAGCACCTGTTTTTGACCAGGGTAATATAAAGAGCAAGCAAATCAAGGATAGCATGAAATTGTCTTTCCGTGGAGGCGGCGAAAAGATATTTCATGAGAGATTGAAGGGCGCCTTGATTCAGAGGAAATGGCTGCTCTACAATGCTCCGCCTGTGCCACAGCAACCATCGCAATCAAGCTCTGAAGTACAAGGCTTGGCCGTGCCTACACCACCGAACGGCCCTGGAGCATCCCTACCCCGCTCACCGGGAGTTGGCATTGCGGGCCTTGAGCGACGAGGCCTTGAGGCTCGTAAGAACAATGAGCTCGTCATTGGCAATGCTTTCGAGGATCTCGAGGCTCTTATGGCATCTGCCAAACACATTGTTGCGCTTGCTGAGACGCTAGCCCGCGAGTCGGGGATGGCTAGTGACGAAAGCTCCGCTGAAACCAGCGCAGTCCTTTCAGAATCGGCGGCGGCGTTGGGTATGGTGACGACGAAAGATATGCTCGGTTCCGGGGCGGAGAGCCTATATCTGTCGGAGTTGTCCCGGAATCTGGCCGAATATCTTACCGATGATCGTAAGGGCATACTACAGAAGGAAGGCGGGATTATCAGTCTTATCGACTTGTGGGCAATCTTCAACCGATCCCGGAACGGGGTCGAGCTCGTCAGTCCTTCGGACTTCCAGAAGGCTGCAGAGCTATGGGAGAAATTGAAGTTGCCAGTCCGTCTGCGACGTTTCAAGAGTGGACTGCTCGTTGTTCAGCGATACGACTGGACTGATGAGAAGACCCTTCAGCAGCTGCTAGACTGGATGGCAGAGCTCCGTCAGGTGCCACCCACGGAACCGGTAGCCTGGGACTGGCGTCTGTTTGGACGTGCCGTGACCGCACAGGAGGCGGCACAGCGATTCAAATGGAGTGTAGGCGTTGCAGCAGAGGAGTTGGAGATGGCAGAGGACAAGGGTGTTCTTTGCAGAGAACAGGGTATTGAGGGGCTACGGTTTTGGTTCAATTATATTGCATCTGACCCAGGCCAGCAGGAAGTGGATGATCTAGGACTTGCAAAAGTTAGCATAGACAACCGTGATATATAGAGATGACGGGCATTTTGAATAAGAAATCCACTATATAATGATCTACCTGTTTTGAATGCCTGAGGCATGAATACAGACCGACAACCCCGCGTTTGCCCCGTGATTGGCTTATCGGAGCTCTCGCCGCCTTATCAGCTGCCAACTCTCTCTCTCCCTTGCACTTCCAGCTCACACTCATGCTTCGTTCGTCAGTATTTCTAGCTCGCTTTCCAATAATTCTATTAGTTGTCTCTCAGGTAAAAGTCTTAGTCTGTGGTTACTGTCCTTGTAGCGGCCCTCCCAACCACTAATCGTTCCCTGTGATGTAACGGAAGACAGCTCCTGTGGCCGTCCGAATCCGGTCTGACGTCGTGGTCGAAGAGCTTCATCGCCCCCTGCTAAGCGTCCTTTCATTCTAGCTTATATACTTCAGGCAGGGCCCTTGCGAACCTCAACCATGGTCTACCCGAGTGCAGTTTCAGATATCAGGGCCGTCAAACGGTCCGTAACTCACTCTCGAGCCGTACTTTTCGCATCATCACGACTTCTAAGGTCCTCCTACCAACGCCGTCACTTATGGCGGGGTCCAGGCGAGAGAATAAATTACGACTATCTGGAAAAGCAGATGGATAGACACCGACGATATTGCCTGTCGAAGCTTCGTGAAAAGCCCGCACGCCCGCGGAAAGCGAACGTGTACGAAAGTCATCATCCGTGGTGGTTTCGAGGTTTCGGACCGGGCTATGATCGAGATAAACCTTTTCAATTTGACCATCGAAGTGGTATCAAGGGTGATTTTTGGGAAGCCGAAAGGTCCCGCATCAAGGACAGAATGGACCAGATCAAGAGAGAGATTGATAATGATCCATACGCAGCACTGTTCGGAAGAAGGCTACAGCCATTCAGCTCATTTGAGAAGCTCGATAACGCATTTACCTCCCTCTGTCGTTCATTTCTAGGTCTTGGCAAGTCGGAAAGTACCATGGATACGACAGCACGTCCGAAGGCCACTGCTGCGGCCTCGAAGGACTCTTCGGAATCACCCAAGAAGCCAAATTCAAAGATGGGTGGTGGGGTTCCATCTTCAGACGAGGTTGTATCAGGGATTAATCGACCAAGCTACGAATTCGACCCTGTTAGTGGCCGTATGATACCCAAAGGCACTGAGCAGCCCGTCGCTACAGAGGAGGGTTTTCGTGGAAGCGATATTGATGCATCGGTCGGGAGCCAAAAGCCTCATTCTGGACCTACTGGCTATCTATCGCCCTTTGAAAGATCAGCCATAGAATCTAAGTCGGCGACAGTATCAGGAAATGAAAGGGCAGAAGAAAGATCGCATCAAGGTGTTGAGGCGGTGCCAGTCGCGGATGAACCCTACCAAGCTCCTGAGGTACTGAAATCGGATCCACCAACAGAAGCTCGCTACAAAGCTTTGGAGCCATCAATCGATGCTTTGAAAGACCAGAGAGATGTTGCTGAGAAAGTCAACGGTCTCTCAGAAGCGATCATGGCCGATCAACCTAAGCCTCAAGGAGAATACACTAATGGCGGCACCTATGATCACCTAGAAGCACCAGTCAATAGCCGCCCGTTTGGAGACCAGCAAAGCCATGAGGTCTTGATGAGACCTCCAGATGCGCCTGGAAGCACTTTAAGTACAGCACAAGAACAGGAAAGGGTGCAAGCTGAGAGGGACGAGGATCTAGACATCCTCAGTGCTAGTGATATCCGTTCCCATTACTTGGCCAGGCCCAGTATTGACCCTGAGATTGAAAAGCAAATTCGCCAATCTTTGGACGATAGGTTCGATTCATTTGTCGATCCAGCTGGTGACATCGATGCTCAAAGCGTTCGAAGCAAGTTTCAAAAGCATGAGACTGTAGGCGCAGACAGGCCAGAGGTATCAGATATTGGTGTACAGCCCGATCAACAAACTGCAGAAAGTCGAGAACCTTCCCAGGTACTCCAGGCCAGAGAGCAGGGATCTGCCCAACGCTTCGATCAAACTGCTATCATTGAGCAGCCGCTCGCTGACAGCCCATCAACTGAAACCTATCGAGTCCTTGCCTACGATCCCTCAACCCTTCAAGTAAACGAAGCGGAGACAAGCTCATCTTTTCATGCTTCAGACGAGACCATTCACCCGGCAGAAATTCTAGGTCGCCTGAACGCCCCTGCCAAATTCCTGCCCCATTTTGCAAGAATGCGTACCGATGGCTACGAGATTGTGTCCGGTGGTGGAGATATTCTTGTATTCAGGAAAGCCAGCAGTTCTGTACATGACAACGCCCCTTCTAAGGCCGCAGACAAGATCGAAACAAGCCCTGACGGCCAGAACAACGGAGCTCTGAAACAGTCTACATCACCTATCCAGCTGTCGCAGGAGCATATCTCCAGCCAAGCTCCTGATCATGAGGTCCAATTGTCAGACGGGACTTCGCAAGCTCAAGGATCTTCTTACTCTTCTTCGAAAGGCCAATCCAGAGTTGGCCAAGCTTTGCGCAGGATGCTGTTCAGTGGCGTGGCTACTGCGGGGACATGCTACGCCATAAGTGTTGTAGTCGAATACTTCCGCACGGGAGGACAGGATGGTCGGGGTATCGATGCTTTTACGGCCTTTGAGTCTGAGCGGCGCCATGGAGACTGAAATAGGCTGTTTTCGCACAAGCTTGTATGATTATTTGTGCTGGTTTTCGCCATGGAAATGACGAGTATGTACTATGTAGTGCTTCTCCTCTCTGTAACTAGAGTCATAATCTCCATTCAACTAAGCTACGCTATCTGCTCCATTAACGCCATTGTCCCGCTATGCGTAACATCAATTTCGTATGGGTAGAATGTGAAAGAAAGATGAAAGCAACGAGCAAGCAAAGGCAACGTATGGAGAAAGAAAGAGTACCGAAAGAAAATAAAAATCGAAGGACAAAGATCAACACCGAGCATCATCCCACCACAGCCACCATTCATCCCTCAGCTCTTGGCCGCAGACGACTCTTTAGGGGGAGACTCAGCAATCGGAAACTTCTCGAACATGTTCTGCATGACACCACACTTGGCGCGGCCCCCCATCAAATAACGATTCAAGCCAGCCAACAATTTCAACGCCGCATGCCAGCCGCTCCTGGTCCAAAGATCATATTCCTGGCTCGCGAGCACGCGGATCACGGGCTTATCTTCTTCGTCCGGAGCCTCATTATTGTCTTCTCGGAGGGTGTGTAGCCAGTCGAGTTGATCTATGTCATATTCCAGATCTTGCTCAGTGTAGCGGCGGGTGGTGTCTCCAGCCCGGAAGGTGTGCAGTTCACTTTTGGGATCGGCGGGTTTGTATTTTTTGCAGTAGATCCGGGAGATCTTAGGACTTGGGAAAACGGCCCGTTGAACGTGAAGTCTGCTTCCGTGGAGGTTGATGAGGAAGACTTCTTGGTCTGGAAGGCAGTATTTGTTGATGTGGAGGTGGTGGAGGTTGGTCAGGAGTTGACCGAGGTGCAGTTGGAAGTTTTGACATAGGGCTTTGTCGAGAGGTTGGTTGTCGGTTAGAGTCTGTGGGGGGTTTGTTAGTGGATTGGTCTTTCAGGGGAGGATTGGGAGGAGACTATACAGTTGCGACTGGCAGAACGGTGCGTGCGAACATGGCGTCCGGGTAGTATTCGACGACAATCCGGCCGGAGGAACAGGGTCCGTCATGACGTTTCTCTTTGTATCCGGTCCAATACTCTAAAGTTTCTCCCATGACTTTCGGACTGGTTGGAAGAGGATGATGCGTTAGTGGATGGTGGTTGTGTAGGGTCTTTCAGGGTTGATGTTGTTACGTACTGAAGGTGAAACCAGAGCATAGGCTTGGAGGTTGGGTGCATGACATCCACATTGAAGAACAGCTCGGATATAAGAGCATGGAGTACGTTGTCCTGGTTGAAGCGTGCCAGTCTGAAATCAGTGTTTGGTGGACAGGTGGCAGTACTTCCTTTATCGTCATCAAAAAGTGCCTTATCCCACTGAGGAGAATTCTTGAGGTTATGGAAGACATCGAAGAAAACGGTCTCGAGGGTAGGCCATTTATCTTGATTGACTTGACGTCCATCCTTGGCTTTGCTGAAGATCCATACTGCGCGATGGACGATCTCTAGTTCTGAGTTAGTCTTGTTCCTTCAGACTTGATTCGCCTACTCCATAAGGAGGATAGTGTCGAATGAGCTAGAATAGGTATATAGGCTCACTGTCAGTGTCTGCTTTCTTAAGGTACCGCAGAGGCACGATGTCTTCGTCGGGACGGCTTAGATAAAACTTGGCTTTCATGCCGTGGACTTCGATATCAACTGTCTTTACCTCTGAAACCTCGAGAATGGTTTCCAGGATGGAGAAGGTTGGCCGCCTGATATACTCGGTAGTCTCTGCTTTTTCGGCTGCTTCCGCTTCTTGTTCTTCAACTATCTTCTTCGCGGCCTTGTACCTCTTAAGCTCCTTCCTAGCTTTGTAAAGCTTCACGGCTGCTTGGGCAAGCCTTTTCTGCACAGCCCCGGGATCCATGATCACCGGGGTTCACGAACGCAGAGAAGGAATATGAGGATAAGAAGAAGGAGAGGAACCTTTCTGCATCTTGTAGCACAGACAGTGCTCAAAATCAGAGTTGTTGGTGTGATTAGTCGCCATGGCAAGGCCTATCTTGTGTTGTGAGAGTGAATCTGCGTGTTCCGTTTGTGTTCTCTGCGAATGCGGAGACATTCAGCGGATACTGAGCCGTTTCAGATGTTTAAGGATGAAGAAGTTGGCAGTTGCATTGCACGAGATCTGTGAATGTGGGAGGTGCATTTGGAGGATATTGGGCGTGTTCTGGCTTGGGGGGTAATTAGTTATGTTATAATTGCATAGGTGAGCTATATTGGTGAGATTGTGTGGCTAGATGCGTTTTGCATGATGTACTTAGCGTAGAATACTAGTTGTGATGGATGGTGCAGATGTTGTTCTAAGAGAGCAAGTATCATCATCCATGTTTGTAGAGAGATATATAGTTGTGGCACAGTTAGTATAGCGGTCTCCAACCGGTTGATACTGCCAGATCCATGAAACAACTTTTTCAAACTGAATTAGCCTAGTAATGTTGTAGTATCATACACCTGAAGAATCTATATCCATAATCTGTGATAGTCACAGTATATTATCTCAGTGGTGGGCATGATCTCCTCATTATCGCCAACATTCTTAGTCACATCTCGGTGGGTCGCAACTCTTGATAAGCGCGACTCCTCCAACTTCCCCGCTTATCATCAACCTCCGCCCTTCCCCAGGTATATATATCTTTCGAAGCATCACTGGCTTTTGAAGAAACATTATATGTCATCTTGACTGCCAGAAATAGAAAACTGCAGCTTCTACCAGATTCACGATGTCCAAAGCAACCCGGATTCCAATCCGTACCCAAAAGGCCCCTCTCCCACCGCCATTCCTCTCCCAGGGCATCGTCGTCGGCGACATGGTCTTCTGCTCCGGGCAGGTGGGCGTGAACCCTGCTACAGGCAAAATGGTTGAGGGCTCAATCCAAGAAAGAACGGTACGAGATTCCTCATTACATAAATAACCCCATTTCCCCGAAATAGAGAGTATTGTAAGGCTGCTCAACTAACGGAGTCCAGAAACAAATCCTCAACAACCTAGGTGCCGTCCTTGAAGCAGGCGGTTCTAGTCTCCAGGATGCCGTGAAAATGAACATATTCCTTGCTGATATGAATGACTTTGCCGCTGTCAATGAAATTTATGCTGCTTTTTTCGAGGATCCGTTACCGGTGCGATCCGTCCGTTTCCCTTCCGTCGGAGTCGCATACTTACTCATGAACCTAGGCTCGTACATGCGTTGCGGTCAAGACATTGCCAATGGGGACTGATGTGGAGATTGAGTGTGTTGGGGTGGTGAGAGGTGTGCCGAGTCGAGGTTCTCGTCTGTGAGAAGCAAGCAATGCAGGTTCCTTGATACCACTGTGATCCTATGCGAGTACATAACTGGACAAATGCAGATAGACACTGCTTATGTGCATATACTTTGCGTCTCGGCTGGGTGCAACGGATAGACCGGCGAGCCTGGTGTGAATAGTCTACCCGTCGACCGGCCCGGTTTCTAACGTGTAGGAATCGGAATGCCAACGGTGACTTTATGCATGGATTCGAGTGGCAGCTGGGCTTAGTTATGTCTAATGCCACGCCGGCTGTCGGATGCAGCTCAAATAGCTGATGCTAGAAGATCATTAGTGCTACAAAGTACTCCATCCTCCGTGCTCTATGCAGGATCCTCTATCGTGTCTAAGCGAACCATTGTGTCTCAGATCGGCTGGGTCGGTAAAAGCACAGATTCAGTCTCCAATGGGTCATGGCAAGGAAGAACCGATCCGCTATTATTAGCATAGTTCTCCATCTCAGAGAGGCCTTTCGTAGGAGCTTGTAGGAAGCTGAACCGTCAGGATTTGCAGTTGGAGCAATTCAGGGATAGTTCATTGCAATTCCTGAACCGATCGACGTTTTTTCAGGCTCTGATCCGAACATCCTGACTGTCTCCAGGATTGGATCTGCCGGAGTGGGAGGAAATCGCAGGCCTCAAAATGGGCGAGGCTAGTCCGCATGGGGGTAATGCACGCGCCAAGAGCCGACAACTAGCCAATGGAACCAAGGACCACGGTGGGGCAGCAGTCAGGAACAGGCTTAGTGTCTGTTTGAAGTAATTTCCCAGTCCTTGGATCGTTGGCAACTTTTGTCCATGGTTCATGAGATTCAGGGTCATATCCCCCGTTCCCAGAACTAGTCGCATTTAGCATATGATATAATAGAATCAGGATAGAGATATGGGTGATGGGCCTCTCTGTTGAAGTCCTCAAGATACAATGGCCTAGTAACAATGGTCAGTGTATGGTCTTACGTCCGTCCAAGGCTTAGACTCAGAGATGATCTTTGAACGGACTCAGCCTACGGGATTAAAATAGCAACGCGAAAAATGGTGCCACTGCTGGACGGACGGAGTTCCGTAGGTGCTACCACTGACTTAGCTTCCTTAGTAGTATCACCAAAATGTCTACTGTCTGTACTCAACTCAGGCGCACGACGATCCAACTCCCCAAGTAGATATTACAGAGGAACTCATCTGGACTTGGGTCTCATCGAAGCTTTGACTTTTCCGATCTGCGTATGCTGATGAAGCGGTTCTGACCGGCAACCTTCTAGAGTGGCACATCGCCCCAGGCCATGCTCTTCGTGAGATCCAACACTCGAAGAAGCAATGACCATGGGGCGCTCCTGCAAATCCTTTCTGACTGTGCTGGTCTTCGGTCGTACCAAGAGTCTCAGCCAATACGCGATCTGTGGAATTTTGTACGACTCTGTTCGTGGCAATTCTGAGACCGAAGGGATGGAAAGAGCCATTGTTTCAGCCCTGACGGCGGCCCCAGCAGGGGCTGTGAACAGTGAGCGACTCTCTTGCATTTCTGACATTCCAGTCATGTCAGGGCAAAAAAGATCGATGATTGCCGCCCTGTCAAATAGCACCGACTGGCGGGCTAAGCAAAAAGAGAGTATAACTTTTTATTTTCCCTGCTGGCGACGGTTGGCGCCGCTGGGCATGCACGTGGTGTAAGACATGAACATGCCTTTCCATCGTCTTCCTCGCTCAGTGATACCCGGGCTGGGTCTTGCTGGAGTCTGAGTGTCGAGCAGCCCCCCTCCCATCCTTCGGGTGTAGGCTAAGAAATTAGCCCAGGACTAACGGAATGGAGCACGTTCTCGAAAGGACCTGAGGTCAATAGTGTCCGCCACTAGCTTCTGAATGGAAGAAGATTGTCCTGGAGGCAGCAACTAGAATTCTGGATGATGCAGTGCTACCTGCATTTTAGCACATCACATAACTCATGTCATGGAGCTTGACAGGTTTCTCATATTGGATAATATTGGATCGTAAGGCCTGCTGCATACCGGTAGAATGGATGGGACTGGTGTGCATACGTAGTGGCTCCGTACGAGGCACAGCTGGTATTGGATACTTTGGGCGAAGAAGGGATGGTGAGACAGCCGGGGGTGGATGACCATTGTGACTGACTCAACCCGGCGGGCGGGAGGGGAAGGGGCATCGATAATCTTACTTTCTTTTTCTTTTTTTTTTTTTTCTGCCTTTTCGTTTCTTTGCTGGCTGTAATGTTAGGCAGAGAGGAAACACTGATTGAATACTTCTTCTCAAGGAGGAGGAAATGCACCCGACCGCATAATCCTGGCTGGCAGGTGCATAACCCCATGCTTATCACATTCCTCCGATTCAAGTTACGAGAAAGGGAAACCCTTTTGTTCGCCTGTGCGAACCGAACCAAGCCATGCGATTTTCTCTCTCTTTCTCTCTCTCTTTTGATGATCCTTGCCTGGTGTTGTTTATTGCTCAGTTGCCGGCCCGTCAAGCAGGCTGCAGCAGTTCAGTTTGGTGCCCGTATCACCACGCACCGGGGCTATCCCCACATCCATCCAGGAACCACCCACACTAAAACGACGCCGTCAGTCTAGGCCTTGTGGTGGTCCGAACCTTGACGGAATTATGCCCTTTGCAGAAGAGGCTGGCGTGCGAGGCGGGAATTACGATGCGCGCCGTACCACTGCTGATCGGCAATTGTCCCTGGCCACCCTCACCGGCCACTTTACGCTGTGCGACCTGTCCAGGACTCCAGGTAAGTCAGTGAGTAAAGTCTCCTTGAATCCTCCGTTACATGCCTGAAATTTGAGGATCCATTCTCAAGATTAAGCATCAATTTTCCCCATTCCATCATTATCTCCCCATACGAGCCGACTGTGATAGGTTTAATTTTCCTGGCCATTCTCATGCGACATCCCGGAATGACTGGACACCTTGTTAACATCTCGCCAATCGTATACCGGCTCCGTGAGCTACAAGTGCAACTGCCAGGCTGCGTCGTCTTTCTGACTCTATGCACCGTCTGCATGCTGCGGCAACAACCCAGCCTCGAGCAAACATCCAGGGCATATGACAGCCTACAGCCCACAGCCTACAATATACCCTGCAATGTTCTCCTCTACTCTGCACAGGTGCACGGAGGAGTACCCGATCTGTGAAGAGGAGATACCTGATAGACACCTTGTGCTCCATATCTGTTCGGTTGACGAGACCCTAGTATGTCGATCGAAATACACCATGCTACCCCTCTTTCAACGTCTAGACCTCCCAAAGAATAGTTTTGTCCACTGTATATCATGCGATCTATGGCCTGAACCACTCGGAGTGAGGGTGTTCTCAATAGTTCCTGCGGTAGCGAGTTCGGGTTTGGTCTTTATATGCGCCGTTGTAGATAGATACTGCACTATAGACGGAGCGCAGCCATGGTCAGCACCCAAATAAGCTCTCTTCTCCGTATACTATTGATCGTTTGGTATCTAGTGTGCCTTTTGATGGGGGGAATTTCGACCAGCGCGGCATGGGTACATGCCTTCTCCATTGGGACGTTCCTCCGGCCACACACGCACACACTGTCCATCCATCCATACTATCCATTCATTCATTCGGCCATTAGTAAAATACACCCATACATAAGTTCTAGCCTGGATACAATGACTTGCAGTGTATGAGGTGTAGGCAGAGAGTCCAGAACCTGTGACACGCAACGACAGCAATTCTAGCATTGAACAGCAAAGACCTAGGAACATGCTCAACCCCAGGTTGTTGCGGGCATTGTCGTCAGTTAACTGAGCAAATGTGCAATTGGGCTAATGAGGATGCGAGGTGAAGATACGGCAACCAAGGTACAATACCGTACGGCAAGAAGGTGGGACGAAGAAGGGGGCCCACCTTTCTACCCGGTGCGTGTGGTTAATTGCCTTGTCATGGGGTGGCTGGCATTGTAGCCACGGCCTTTTCCTTTTCTTTTCCCGCGTGTTTCCTTCCCAAACCCACCTCTCCCCCCCCTCTGTGCTTGGTGTGCCTCGTTTTTCCCCTGCCGTGCCTTTTCCCTTCCCTTCCCTTCCCTCCTCCCCCCCTTTTTTCCAGTGGTACCAAACCACAAATCCCACAGCCCAACCCGGAAATCCAGTGGTGGTAAGAGCTAAGGAAAGTAAAGTAAAGTCAAAATGTAAAAATCCGGGTCCCAAAATCCCAAAATAATCAAATTCACCAAAAAAAGGCGATGACACGGACCGGCACACCAACTAACTAAGCCAAACTAAACTAAACCGCCAGCCAGAAAGTAATCTCCCCTTCCCTCTCACTCTCCTTTCATTCATTTTAGTGCTGTTGTTATTATTACTGTTCCTATTACTACCACCTTTTTTGATTTTTCCCGTCCTTCCTTTGGTATTATTATTCTTATTTTTATTCTGCTTCTGCTTCTTCACTTTGCATCGCCTATCTTTCTTTTCATTCTTTACTACCATCCTTTCCCTCCCTCCTCCTCCTCCTTCTTCCTCTTCCCCCTCTCTTCGCCCCGTTTTTGCTTCGCCAGCGCCGGTGCTTCGTTGACGTAGCCCACCTGCGAACACCTTTTCTACGTCAACGAGCCGTTGGGACTTGCCAATTCACCCTCAGCCTTTCTCTCCTTGCATCCCATCCCCCTCCCACGGTCGCGCCCTCTCCAGGTACTACCACCACCTCCAACCGCCGTTCACCATAACAACCCACCCCCCTCCACCACTACCACTACCACTACCACCTCCACCTCCCCCCCCCTCTCCACGGCCGTTTTTCTCACTTAACATCCCTTTCTTAGATCTTGTCACTCGCTCCTTACCGCCTCTACACTCGTTATTGTTTTGTTTGCTGGTAGTTTTCGTGAGGGGTTGCTGTTGGTTTCTCATCGACCACGCCCCCCTGCCGCTCTTTGAACCCGCTTTGTTTATACCGAACTCCCGCCGTTGGTGCGCGCACATCCATCCGTCAGCTGTCAGTGCGCTGCTAGAGCTTGTCGCTATCGATACATTTGATTCGGGAAATTTTTTGGTGATCTAATTTGGCGATCTCTGCATCATTTCTGGTTGTTGTTCGGTTCAACTCAATATACCAGGAAGCTTACCGATCGTTATCATTGCATCCCCAGCCGTCGATCGATTCGGAATATCGCCATCGCTCGCGCCATCCTCCGATTGAGATACGTTGGCTTCGACTGGTTCAAATCGTGGAGAGGTGGACACACGAAAACACCGGGAACAGGACATCTATATAGCCCCGGGGGTTAGTCTATCCGAATTCCAACCACCGACCCCATGCATCAGCAATTTCGACGACTAGCTTTGATCCTTGACGTTTGAATACTTCGTGTCTTGGGATATTTGGTTTTGGAGGTTCCCATCTGAGCCTTCGCTCTGTCCATTCATTTCAGCATTGTTACGGTCTTTTCGACCACCTGACCACTCTTTATCGCCTGCTATTGTTATCCAACCATTCGAATCAATATGATTGCGCCCACGACTTCGTTGTTGGCCGCGTTCTTGTCCTTCGGCGGCCTCGAGCTCGTCGCAGCCCGGGAGGCAGGACAGGTACGGGATTTGGGAGCGCGAGAGGTTAGCTCCGCGGCCCTTGTTTCCTCCCAGCCTGTTACGCCTATCGAGTTGACCACCAGGTCCGAAACCAGTACGCATGAGTCGGCGCCCACTTCGGACAATGAACAAACAAGCCCGATCGTTGACCCTTCACCTGCTGTTATTGTTGTCCCTGTGACCATTTCCGTGGACGCCAATGGTGTTACGCATACTATTGTGGGCACAGCACCGTTCGTTCCCGGTGCTTCAACGACAACTAGCTCTACTATTGAGCGTGCGGCGAGTACTCCGGCGGCGGCAGCTGCCACTTCGACGGCGAGCGCGACCACATCCGATAAGGACTCAACCACCAGTGACTCGGACAAGCATACGTCTACGTCCGAATCCGAGAAGCACACTTCTACGTCTGAATCGTCGGCGAAACCAGAGACTCGTTCTTCATCGGCAGCAGAAGCTGAGACACCTTCGTCGGCAGCAGCGGCAGCAGCAGCAGCCACTACATCGAGCCAGAGTTCGTTGGCTGAGTCCTGGGAGAGCTTTATTTCAAGTATCTTGGGATCTTCTACGAGCACTAGCGCAGCCTCCACCACGGCCAGCCCTACCGCGTCCTCAGCCGAGTCCAGCTCTGCGACACCCGCTCCCGCTTCGAGCTCTGCGGGCGTCGTCGTAGATGTTACCACAAGCAAGAGTTCTACAAGCGACGGCTCGACGACCTCGGAAAGTTCTACGGCTAAGGACTCGACTACTCAGAGCTCTTCCAGCCCAGCTTCTTCGACTCCAGCTTCCACTGCGGAGTCTTCGGCCGAGGCTTCGAAATCGGAACCTGCCACTGCTAGCTCGAAGGCAGAGACTTCGAGTCAACTTATCACCAGCCAGAGCGCATCTGCCCAGAGTTCTTCCGCTCAAGTCCCTCTGGCGGAGTCCACTTCGAAGTCTGAGTCTTCAACTCAGAGCTCCTCGAGCCAGGTGACATCTGTCCAGGCCACCTCGTCAGGCGCAGCCACCCAGGCTACTGGGTCAGTGTCCTCGAGCCTCATCCCATCTGCGTCTGAAGACGTGACCTCTTCTTCTTCCGCCCCCGCATCGTCAGGTGGAGTGCTCGGTTTCCTCTCAGACCTCTTTCCTACTAGCACCACTTCCACCGGATCCGCCTCTGCTACAAGCAAGAGTGCAAGTGAGTCTGCCGACTCCAGTGCTTTCCCTCTGAGCCTCCCTACCATCTCGGTTAGTGTTCCTGTGGTTACGCCTGCCTCCTCCTCTTCTGGATCTGTCAATATCGTTCCTGGCCTATTAGGCACATCCTCAGGCGCTTCCTTGGAATCTTCGGGCATTAGTCTAGGTATCTCGGCCACTTCCACGGCTCTGATTCCTGGAGCTTCCAGCGGAACCCAGAGTTCCGCTGCAGGTGCCTCGACTCCTGTCGTCAGTGGTGGCATTATCATCATGCCTACTTCGACTGAATCTGCTTCAGCTTCCGTCTCAGGATCTGCCTCGACAGGTCTTTTTGGAACCACTTCTGAATCGGCATCTTCGTTGGCTTCCGGTTCCGCCTCTGGATCTGCAGGTGTTATTCCTACATCGGTGTCTGGGTCTGTATCTGGATCGGCAGGACTTTTCCCTACGTCGGCGTCTGGATCCCTTTCGGGATCTGCAGGTGTTATTCCTACATCGGCTCCTGGCTCTGCGTCTGGATCTGTGTCCGGATCTGCTTCTGGTTCCGCTGGGCTTTTCCCTACGACTGCTTCTGGATCCGTCTCCGGTTCTGCCGCTGGCACCAGCTCTGCGTCTATGTATACCTCCATTTCCGGCCCTGCCTCTTCGATCCCCTTGATTACTTCCACCAAGGAGTCCTCGAGTCTGGCATCTGCGACGCCTTCCTATGCCCCGTCCACTACCAGCAAGGAAACCCCCACCCCGATTGAACAACCCACCACGACGACCACCTCGGCCGCTGAGACGACTGTAACCCCTACACCGACCACGACCACCTCCGATTCTGACAACTATCTGCCGTCGAGTATTCTCGTGGTTGAGCCCACGACTACTACGGCAGTGAGCACGGGCACGGCTACCCATTCGAGTACCAGCACTGCCGCTGCTCAGCTTCCTGGATCAATCTCTCCTTCTGGTGGCCTTCCCGATCAGCCAGCCAACGATACCTTGGTCCAGATCGGATTCAATGGCAAACTGCGCTGGAGCTTTGTGGCCACAACGCCCTTGTCTTCCTCCCAGATCTTCATGTATGTTCCGGAGGGTCTGGGCTACGCGTTGCAGCTCAATGACTCTGACGTGGTCATGTATGACCTCCAACCCTACGACAACTCGGCAAGCACTGGCTACATTGCTACCGTTGCCCTGATGTACATCCCTTCAGATGATGTTGACACCCTGCGGAAGATGCTCCACAACCCCATCTCGAGGCTCTACGAGCAGCCTAACGAGACGGTCAAGACGTTGATGGCCATGATCGACCCTTCCATTCCTCTTCTGGTGGGTGACTCGGGCTCTTCCAGTGGCAGCTCGTCCAGCAGCGGTGGCTCGGGTGGTAGCAGCGGCGATGGCGATGGCAGTGACAGTGGCTACAACCAAGGCGATGCTGGTACCAGCTCATCCGGTACAACCAAGGCTAGCGCCGTTGGTATCGGATGTGGTGCTGTGGCCGGTGCTGCAGCATATGGTGCTGGTATGTTCTGGGTTGCGCGTCGGTACCGGAAGAAGCGCCAGCTGCACCAGCGCTCCCCCTCGAGCGTCGACCAGATGAGCGAAGGCCGCGGGGCCGGGTCCGTCCTCGGCGCGGGTGGCCGTCTCTCTCGCAACAGTCAAAACAGCCGGGGCACTGGCCGCACTCAGATGATCAGTGCACCGGTGATGGCCGAAAATTCGCTCGGCTGGAACTAAGCCCATCAGTATTTCACCTATAAACAATGGATCGTGTACTTTGTTCAATAACTAGACAGGGCCAAAATATAAGCCAGAGCCATGACGCAACGCTCTAGAGAGCTTGTTGGGGGCTTTGAGCCCCTAATCTGTGTGGAATACATACCAAGCGTTGTTGATGTTGCCATTTGTTCCCAACTGTATTCACATTTATCTTTGTATGCCATCGTGTCCTCATTTTCCCGGCATTTGTCTGTTTATTTATATCCTTTTCTTTTTTTTTTTCTCTTCTTATTCCCCACACGTTTTGTGCCATTTTCCACTACCCTTTCATCCATACCATTCTTACTCTCCTTATGGTGACACAGAAAAAAAGACCTGCCACCGCAATCACTTTTTTTACTCTTCTTCATTTCACATTTTTTTATATCATTTCTCTTCATCCTCTCCCTATGATCATCCATCTTCCTTCAGGATGGGACTACATATTCCTCCTGACTGAACTCACCCCTCCCCTACGCTTTTCCTAATGATTGGGTGGTAGGTATCTGCTGTGACGAGTGAACGCCGTGCTATACTCTCCTACCCCGTGTTTGTTTTTCCTCTTTGTCCGTCCTTTTTTTCTCGCTATGTGTACAGATGTATATTTCCTCTTTTTTCAGTAGATCGAAATGCAAGCATGCAAGCTAACTAGCTGGCCTAAGTCACGCTGGTCGGATTGATCTGGCTGGGTTGGGCTAAGCTAGGCTAGGCTGAATGAAAATATTCAAATGTGGTTGATTCTTTTGTAGAGATGAAATTTGTAGTTTTTTGTTTGGGTTTGATGTCCATAGGGAAGTAGGTATGTAGATAGGCAAGATTGTTTTGTGTTCATATCCAGATGCAGAGGACCATTGAATAGCAAGTAATAACGTGTCTGACCTGGTCCTTGATTTGATGAGGTGAGTGATGATTGATGATGCTTGGCTGAATGGATGGAATGAGAGTCGAGAAATAAGGACACCTGAAGAACAACGCTAACAGACTATTATGTACAATACAGAAATGCAGTGGAGAGGCACCCAGAAAATGAGCTAGGTAAGTTGTGATCCATTCGTCCATCCATCCGTCGCCAATGACATATGAAAACCCTGGGCAAGAAAAAAAACACAGTCAAAGATAATGAAATGATCACTCTTTCTTTTCTTTCGAGTTAGACCCGAAACCCAGTAAGGCCAGCGGGCCGGCCTCGCCGCGCTGCTCACGCTCCTGCATCCGCTGCTCCTTAGCTCGACGGCGGTCCTCCTTGTACTGCTCCCAGGAGAGGTTAGCGTCGTGGCCCATGACTTCGCCGTTGTTCTTCTCGGCCTGGAGCTTAAGGAAGTGGCTGAGGGAGGTGTCCTCATCGTGAGGAGTTCTCACGGCCTGAGGTAGCGGACGCACGGCATCTTCACCGGCATAGGCACGGAGTCCGGTATGGAAAGCCCATTCGACAGCCTCTTCGACGGGCTTGTCGAATAGGTACGGGAGGAAAGGCACGACGGAGAGACCGAGCTAGTTTATTGCATAGTTAGCGGACCATTCCCCATACCGATTTCACATGACAAATGCGGAGAAACTCACCCCGATAGGCGCCCAAGTGCGGAAAAAGACACTCCGGGAGTTCTTCAACATGCGCCCGGAGTACTTGACCACAGAGTGGATAGTAAAGGCCGGCAGACCCATACTGGCGATACCCTGGAACACGGCGCGCTGGGCCATCACCGTGCGGTAGTCCTCAGCCAGAGGCACGTGAGTCGTGGGCCATGGCATCAGCGTATCGCCGCCTGTTAGGGAGCCGGCGATGTTGCCGGTCACCATGCCCTTGGCGATTTTGTCGTGGGTGAGATCGCTGGCGTCCTTGTAGGCCTCACAGGGAGGAGCCAGGACGCGGCGATTGCGGAGGTAGGCTTTGTAGCCTTCGTGGGCGACATCGCCAATTAGATAGGTCCAGGAGATGGCATAGGCGGATCGCACGAGCCAGGGGTGGGCGACGGGGCGAAAGGATTCGCCTATGTCGGAGGTGTAGGCGACATAGCGGTGGGCGGAGAGAAGAACAGTGCGGAGACGGTTGGCGTAACCGGCGTAGCGGTAGGGAGTTTCGGTCGAGTCTACGGAGCTGTGATAGGAAGAGAGAGAGAGAGATTTAGTTAGTATGCTATGAGTAGCTAACTAGCAGCTGGTGGTGTGGGTGATTCTCCGTTTTGCGTTGCGTTGCTTTTTTGGTTTCTTGCGGGGATCGGAAATGCGGGGAGACACGCGGAGAAAGAAAGAGAGAGAGAGAGAGAGCGTCTTCGCTTTTTCTCTTGTCCTCCCTTGCGACACCGACAATGTTGGGGATAAAACATGACAGTGAGATATGAAAAGAAAAGGTATCAGACATACTACGAGGAATAGATGTCATCGTAGAAGCCGTCGTCGTGGTCGGCCAAGGTTTGTAAATGCGAAGGGAGCTTCTTGCGAGGAATGGGTGGTTGTTGGGCCGCTTCGGGCGTGTCGTCGTGATGCTTTCCCCAGAACATGATGGGATAAAATGCGACAGTTGGATTAATGAGTAACGCTTGGATAAGAAGTGAGAAGTGAAAAAAAGTATCGAGGGAGAGAGAGAGAGAGAGAGAGAGAGAGAGGAAAATGAAGTGTAGCAGACTGAAAATGTGAAAGGAGTGAAGCGAGGAATGAAGATTAGTAGATCAAGGGGGAAAAGAAGTAAAGAGGAGATGGTGACTTCAAATCCAAACAGCTCCAAAGTCAACAGGAGCTCCAGCGAATCCAGGGCCGAAAGAAACCATGGACTGGCAGCATCTTATAGCGCCGGCGATTCGCTGCAGGATAACCGCCAGCAGTAACCGACCAGCAAGCAAGCTCAGCTCATAGCCGGGGAAATCTCCACGTCTCGTCCAGGGATGATTTCACTTCCCCCGAGGTTCGGATGGGGGGAGCTTTTCCTATACTACGTTACTGGAGAGAAGCTGTGATGACACCGCCATAACCATGAGGGTTTGTCATGTTGGTGGATAAATTAAAAACTACGGTGTACGGAGTACTTTCTGTGGTCAGATGTTGGCTGTAGCTTTTGTATTTGCATCTGCAGGTGTTGTGATACCGCAATTCATCGTGCTTTTAAGGGCATGTCAATCATGCCATCATATCCCGTGATGTCTTCCCGGGACCCTCACGTGTCGGGCACTTTCGGGACATCACGTGAACTGCAGCTAGCTCGCGTGACACATGACTCAGCAAGGTCACTTTGAGTGTGTCTGACTCATTTCTGAGTCATCAAACACGCCAGTCCCAAACAGGCAAGGACCATAGCCGCAACTTCCATCGCAGCCGTCCAACGACTGATTCCCGCTGGACCTCGCATCGCACCGCTACATCCGCCGCTGTGACCTGACCATTCTCCATTGAACTCTCTCCTCCAATCCGTCATCATGGTCGTCTACTACCAGATCGCCGGCAAGCAGGTCGGCTCCCACGTTGTACGTCTCCGTTGCCGCCCCGTCTCAACCCTTCCCCTGTCCCGGGACCAATCTCTGCCGAGGTCATAACATCGGCCGATGGCACACTCTGCCAGCTGCCTGGGAACTCTCACACTGACTACTTGACTATATATAGCTCGCCATGGGCGTTCTCGGTGCTCTCTTCGGCGGTGTTGGTCTCGCTACTCGTGGTGGTAGCCAGCCCAAGCCTGCCACCCCTCCCATCCAGGCTTCTTCCAAGGATGAGGAGACCTTCATTCAGTACGTCTCCGCCTTTATAAAAGATGAACCTATCTGCAATTAGGACTTTGAAGGATATGGTTGGAATTTTTGAACTCAAGCTAATGTTTATAACAGGGACTTCTTGAAACAAGTGAACGGAGAAGAGAAAAAGAAAGACCATTAGAATACCGCTTTAATACGGGAATCAGTCGAGGGCAACCTAATTGAAGACGCTCGATGCATGATATCCATGACCGAATGGGTCGTTGGTCAGGGTGGTCTGGATTCTACCCTGACGGGCTAGGGCAGTGTCCTTGAAATCTTGCCTGCTGGGACGGTTTGGCGGTTCCACGGGAGGTGTGAATCTGTACATATAGAGTATACACCGTGAACGTTTGTTCTCCAACTTTGCCGTGTCTGGAACTGGTAAAATCCTTACAAAGAGCTCCATATCGGTGTAGAAAGTAAGCGTGCGTGAAACAGCCACCAGATCATAACCAACAAGAGTATTCATTACCTACTGGAACTGAGACTTCCAGTCAATTAAATCTGTACCAGTACTCAAATTCATATCTACCAGTTCCTACAGCTTCCCATCCAATCACTCAGAACCTACCAGTCACACAGCCAGTCAGTCACCTGACCATATCCAACCTTTCACGATAACATCCCAAACCAACCCACAATCTGAACCTCTCCCAATCCACCCATTCAACCACACCACCACTCACCCTCGCACCAACCATGAAACCAACCCCCTTCCCTTTCGCCCTCAACATCGGCACCGACATCGTCCACCTCCCCCGAATAACCCGCCTCCTCGCCCGCCCCAACTACCTCACCCGCTTCACGCACCGCATTCTCCACGCCCGCGAACAACAAGACTTTCGCACGCGGTTCGCCCTTCCTTCTCTCCCTCCCTTATCCTCCCAAACGCAAACTCCTAACATAAGTATATCCCCCGACATGACGCGGTGGCTCGCAGGCCGGTTCGCGGCCAAAGAGGCAGCACGGAAAGCGGCGCCCCGCGGCGCGGCGCATATTAGCTGGAAGGATGTGGTGGTTACGGTGGGGGAGGATGGGGGGAGGCCGGAGGTGGTATATTTAGATGGGGAGGGGGAGGATGAGGCAGGGAGGGTAGGGAAATTGTCGATTTCGCATGATGGGGAGTATGTGGTTGCTATGGTGGTGGCGGCGGGGTGAGGTATATTCTTCATTGAAGGAGAGTATATGGGATTTCATATAAGGTTTACGTGCTGGGGAGGGGAGTATGTGGCGGATGCTAGACTGGGAGTTGGTTTGAACAGTTCAGTGTGACGCTGAGACAATTGAGGGATGGGCTATGGCTGTGTTGGGGTAATATTTGGATGAAGGGAGGTGTGAAGATGCGCCTGCTTGAGAGAGGAGACATGTGGTAGAGCTAGCTGGCTAGCTACGTATACAGATGGAGTGTATCAATAGATGTATAGTAGAGTACAATAGTAATGGATGCATGATAATTGGTATAAATCTCGGCAATAAAGTGTGTAGGCAGCGTGATCGCCATCTCGTATCTGGAATCGGAGATGCTGGCGGAGCTGCCGGTCGAGCAGAACATCCGCGCCAGACTGACTCGCCGCAACAACTCCCTGCTTCTTCACACGGCCCTCTTCACCACCCTCCTAGTAGTCCAGGGTCACGTCTCAGTGAGTTTGTCAGTGGCTGACCAGTTATAATTAGCCTGGCCTTCACGAGCTCCGGCGGGTTCTCCCTTATATACCAGCAGCAACAGCAACCCCTCCATCGCGGGGTAACCGGCCGCAGTAAGTGATACAACATCGCGAATCATCACGACTTCAGTCCACCACATCTACAAGTTGATCACCTACTAATACCTCTCCAGATGCCCTTCACTCATCACAGCCACTCCGGGCAATTCTGCCCCGGCCACGCCAAAGACAACTTGGAAGAAATCATCCAGCTCGCCATATCCAAGAAATTCCACACCTTCTGCCTAACAGAGCACATGCCCCGCCATGAAGAAGATTTCTACCCAGAAGAGGTATGTAACCCATCTTATCTACGATACACCCTACCCGATAACCTAACTAAAACAACTAACCAACCCAGATCGAAGCCGGCGACACCGAATCCAGCCACGTAGCCAACGAGGCCGCCTACTTCGCCGAAGCCACGCGCCTCCGAACCAAATACGCCGATCAAATCAACATCCTCATCGGATTCGAGATCGACTGGATCCGGCCGGCCTCGCGACAGCTAATCGAGGAGTCTCTGTCGCGGCACCCGTTCGAGTTCTTCATGGGTTCCGTGCACCATACATTGACCGTCCCCATAGACTATGACCGGCCGCTGTATGAGAAGGCGCGCGCACTAGCCGGTGGAACGGACGAGTTGCTCTTCGAGGCGTACTTTGATGAGCAGCTGGATATGCTGAAGCAGGTGAAGCCGGTGGTGGTGGGGCATTTTGATCTGATTCGGCTGAAGAGCGATGACCCCGATCGGAGTTTTCAGGACTATCCGAGGGTGTGGGAGAAGATTCTACGAAATTTGGACTACGTGGCGGGATATGGGGGTCTGTTGGAGGTTAATTCGGCGGCGTTGAGGAAGGGCATGAAGGAGCCGTATCCGAATGGGGAGATTTGTAAGGAATTCCTGGCTCGCGGAGGTCGGTTCTGTCTGTCGGATGATAGTCATGGATTGGCGCAGGTTGGGCTGAATTTCCATCGCGTGGTGCCGTTCTTGGAGCAGGTGGGTGTGTCGAGGCTGCATTATTTGGCACTGGGGGAGGGTGATGCGCCCGTTGATGCACGGTTTCCTCGGACGCAGATCAAGGAGGTGACATTGGAGGAGGTGAAGAATATGTCGTTTTGGAGGTAGAATGGAGCCAGAGCCACGAAGCCATGAATGATTTGGGGGGAGTTGAGTTGACAGGATGCATCACATGCAGGGTGAAATGGGGTTGCATGCATTGACAGTTGGTTTAGTTATTTTTTTGCTTTTCCCTATCTCAGATATCACACGGGAAAAAGAACGTGGAATGACTGATGTTGATGGTGGTTTAGTACGTAGTAGTAGTTCTGCTGGCACTGGGGTCGATGGGCGGCCAGCCAGCTACTAAAGTACACCAAGTAGAACCGGACAATCAATTAT